CACGTTCCGTACGGAAAAAGACATCCAACCAAAAACAAAGGAGGAGATATCATATGATGTTCTTCCACCAGTACATGTTTTCCTCTACCATTTTCTTCCTTTATTTATTTATTCCCTTTTTAAGCTAAGGATAGTGCATGCATCATTCTGCATTTTCTGCTTTATTTTATTGGTGAACTGTACTTGTAACTCTCCTCTCTAACCAAACACTACTGTCCAAATTAACAGATTTAAAAAAAAAAAAAAAGATAGTTTAAATTTTTTATCCAATCATAATTTTTTTTTTTCAACCAATCAACTCAGATCACATATCGAGAATAATCATGTTTATACTGAAAACTTTAATTATGATAAAAAAAAACCTGCGCCGTCTCATTTTCTTACATATAGGGGCCGGGTGTAGATAAGATGCATACAAGTTTTCATTCTTCAGTTTAATTAAATGACGTGCGAACAACATAATCAATCTCGATATAAGATTCTAATTAACTGATTGAAAAATATGTGGTAAGAAATACATCTTTCTTTGCCCATATGAAGTGGGAACTGAGAAATACCCAAGAAGAACACCTCACCAGCCTGTTACAGCCATGCACTCCAAATCTTTTTTTTTTTTTTTTTGTAGAATGTTTTGTCCCATTCTTCCGGGGTGGGGGGGGGGGGGGGGGTAGGTAAGTATACAATCATTGGTTTGAAAAATACTATGGAATTATGTATGTAAATATATAGATATTATTTCTTTGTTGTCTGCTCATTCCTTAAAGCTATCATGTAATTGTTTACCAAGTCATCAACTTAAATTTAAAATCATGACAACCAACCAATCAAGAAACAATTGAAGTAAGCTTAGTGCAGAAATTCATGAGAAGCAATGGTGGTGCCTTGACCCATAAATTCATGAAAATTAAACAATTCATCAATTGAATTTTTCTCATCAATAAAATAATTGTTGCTGGTTTTTGGTACTTAGAAATTTAGGTGATGTAAAATGTCAGCCGTTTTTATTTTATTTTCTCATTGCTTTAAAATCGTTAGATTTGGTCACGAATAACTGAGTTTGTTTTTTAGTTTTTTTTTGGAGATTAAGCTCTCATATATATGACACACTTAAGTGAGAATTGAAAGGGTGCCCAAAAATTAAAAAAAAAAAAAAAATGATGATGAGAACCCATCTTAGCTATCTTTGCGAAAACTTCTAGATAAGTAGCGTACGTCTGAATTGAACTCTTTCTGATTAAAGAATCTCTTTCTATTTCTCATCAATCGAATCACTTTTTCTATAAATACAAGACATCAAAGTCATACAAGTAAAGAGATCTATTCATTGATATAGGAAGATCAATGGCTTTGAAACAAGGAAAGACAACTTGATAATTATTTCAAACTTCTAGTAGTACACCTTAATTGCAATAGTAGCTATCAAGTGCATTCTATGATATGTACAAGTGCAGTCATCTTGAGTGCATTTTACATATTATTGAATGCACATACTTATATTTTTGTCAGTAAGCACTTTTAGAGGTAGATTCGATCTCTCTCTCTTTTTTTTTTTTTTTTTTTTTTTTTTTTTTTGACAAGAGAAACTCACAGTTACTTTTTAAGGGTATGCAATTGATAAATTATACTTTGTGACCCTAGCCGACAAAGGATCACAATCAAGAATGCCGATCTTGAGCGCACTTATACGTGTAAGAAAATGTACTTGGTAATGTTGCGAATTGAAGTGTAAGTTCACACTTGAACACAAGTTTTTAATAAACGTAAGAACACAAAATAAAACACCCAATATTGGGGAGCAAACAATGCATGCTATTGTCCATTTTCATTCCTAGCTTGTCCGCGTTAGTCTACGCGGCTAGCTAGCTTCTTCACGGAGTACTCAACCCGCATTTCAAATACGTTTTCGTGTTGTGTATAACTCAAAATAAAATCAACTCATTCATAGCTAATTCATAAATATTTTTTTATTAAAAAATCTTATTCTTAATGGAAATATACAATTTTTTATTTAATTTTTTTTTGCAATAACTCAATATAAAATTGGTTAATTTATATATATATTAAGTATTACTGATTTTGTTACAATATAGTATCTGTCCATATATACTTTCTCAACTTGTGGCCTCTCATTTAGTAGAGCCACAATTATGCTGTTCGATCATAAAGTCTTTGACATTATTATTATTATTATTATTATTATTATTATTATTATTATTATTATTATTATTATTATTATTATTATTATTATATGAACAATAACAATTTTATATTTCTAGTTGTGGAATTTAGTCCAACAAATAGTACATGACTAGATAACATTGTCCCAAACAATCAAAGTTTTATGGTATCAAAATTCAAAACCTATGTTTGCTTTAAGTAGCACACTATAAACATGGCACAAATATCATTGAACAAACATTTCTCTCTTTCTTAGCTTAATCAATCAATAATTAATTGGTTAGAGTTGTTGCCATGACAGACAATTTATTAATAATAATGTTTTCTATTGTTGTTACACCGCCATGCACTTATTTATTTTGTTTGTTGACTTTTTTATTTTTTATTTTGGGATTCCTAAAACAAAGGCAGACTAGTCATAGGAATTGAAAAAGACAACACAATATAATTATAACGAATCATTAGATTGCCGACGACCATGTATGTATATATAATGAAGAACATACATTTAATTTGATATTTTCTTTGTAACAATATAATGCATATATGTAAGAGTGGTGTACATTATCTGCTACATCACACGAACCCATCATATGGACGTGGACGTGGACGTGGGTCTATATATATATATATATTCAGAGCAAGAATTTGTATGAGACTGCCTCACGGAGACGGGGACGTTATGCCATGGAACCGTGTTCACCATTCATGGTGTTAGTACACCGTTATCTTTCTTTCTTTTTTTTTTTTTTTAATTAATTGCGTGACTTTTCTTCTTTATTTTCACATTTTGCGGTTTCACTTTAATTTGAGGTGAACAAAGATTTCGGACATTCATAAATTATGAATTCATGCCTGCACATTCACTTTGGAACCATGCCTACACATTCCCGTCCGAAATCACGGACATTCATAAATTATGAATCCATGCCTCTGCACATTCACTTTGGAACCATGCCTACACATTCACTTTGGAACCATGAGATTATGAATTTTCTGTTATAAGATTATGAATTTTCTATTATGAGATTATGAATTTTCAGTTATGAGATTATGAATTTTCTGTTATGCGATTATGAATTTTCTGTTATGAGATTATGAATTTTCATTACATTCATAATTTTGGACATTCATAAATTATGAATTCATGCCTGCACATTCACTTTGGAACCATACCTACATATTCCCGTCCGAAATCACGGACATTCATAAATTATGAATCCATGCCTTCACATTCACTTTGGAACCATGCCTACAAATTCACTTTGGAACCATGAGATTATGAATTTTCTGTTATAAGATTATGAATTTTCTGTTATGAGATTATGAATTTTCAGTTGTGAGATTATGAATTTTCTGTTATGCGATTATGAATTTTCTGTTATGCGATTATGAATTTTCATAAAATTCATAATCTCATAACAGAAAATTCATAATTTGATCAAACGCGCGCCGTTAACTCCACATCCGCGATTTTTTTTTTTTTTTTTTTTTTTTTTTGCTTAAAAACGACGTCGTTTTGCCTTGTGTTCACCATTCTCGGTGAACACGATTCCATGGCATAATTTGCGATGGAGACGGATTGAGTTAATATGAATGTATTATACTTAACAAATATAATACTAAATCATGAATAAAATGTTTATTGCTTATATGAAAAAATGTAATACTCTTGAAGAAAAACGTAATATTTTTAAATTTTGACGTAAAAGTATTACATTTTTATCAAAAGTATTACATTTTCCTTTACAAGTGCTACTTATACGGAAAAATATAATACTTTTGATTAAAAAATTAATAATTTTAAATCAAAATATAAAAGCATTACATTTGTCCTCAAAAGTATTACGTTTTTCTTTATAAGTAACAAATATTTTATTCCTGATTTAATATTATATTTGTTAATATAAGTATTACATTTGCATACCGACCCGTGTCGCGGATCACACAAGTATGGCCCTATATTCAGATACTTCTCTTGAATTAAACCATGGCTATCTCTAACCTAAATATATAAATGTTACATGCTCTATTTGACTCCGCGCGCGTGTTAGAATAATAAATATTATGGAGTATGATAATGTATGTTATGAGTTAGAATGATATACTTAATGTATTAGAATAATGTACTTTATGTTTTAGAATAATGGCATTTATAGGATAAGATAATGTATTTTATGAATTAGAATAATGTACTTTATGTGTTTTTGGACCGTTGTCCACACAACTATGTGGACCGTAATTTGCGGATAGTTATGTTGTGTATGGTGCATACGGATGCAAAAACGACGTCATTTTATTAAAAACGCGCGTCTCCCCTTAAAAAAAAAATTAGGTTCGATTCCCAGCAACAGCATTATGTTGTTCATTCATTCTGGAATTTTAGTTCATAGATTATGGAATTTTAGTTCATTGATTCTGGAATTTTAGTTCATTCATTCTGGAATTTTTAGTCCATAGATTAGATTATGGAATTATAGTTTCATCGATTCTGGAATTATAGTTTATCAATTCTGAAATTTTAATTCATATGTTGTTGTGCTGAGAATTTCGAACCTGATTTTTTTTTTTTTAGGAAAGACGTATATTTTTAATAAAACGACGTCGTTTTTGCATCCGTATGTACCATGCAATCCACAGTATAATTTGCCGTAATTTGCCTTCCCCTTAACAAAGGAGGAGGAGGAGGAGGATCGCAGCCCAAAATATCCTTTCTGGCCCAAGAAGCCCAAATACATGTCGACCAATTTGTGCCACCTCATCACCTCCTATTGGTTACTCCACTCTAGAACTCTCTGCTATTTCAGCTTCGTCCTCTCTCCTAGTGCCACATCTTCTTCTTCCTCTGCAACATTTTCTTCCTTCTTACCTCACTCTGCTCCTCTTTCTTCCCGTCTTCTTCTACCTTCCACAATCTAATCTTCTCCCGCACTCGCCTTTGAACGAATACTCTTGTAACTGTCATCATGGATGATCGGCCTTCTTCACCGGCGGAGGGAACCGACGGAGCTCACCGTAACGCACTGGATATTTACCCTTTGAACTGTTACTTCTTTGGATCCAAAGACGCTGTTACCTTCAAGGATGAAACGTTAGCTGATCGCGTTGGCCGAATGAAATTAAAGTACAACTAACACTCCGTTTCCGATGAATGAGTTCAATTCTATGCCTTTTAGGTTTCCATTAATGAATTCTCTGGTTTTTTAATTTCAGCTACGATACGTATGGATTGAGGACCTGTGTGCAGGCAGTTCTATTGGTTAGTACTATTCTCTTTCGTTTTGGTCTGCATTGTTCCTTGCTACTGTAAATTTCTGTACATCTCCATCTTTGAGTTTAATTAATTTTTGAGTTGATTTCGAATTTAGTCATCTAAATTCATTTCCAAAGTTTTTAATTTATTTGAACCTAAAGTTAGTTTGAGGATCTGAATGGAGACTCGATAGTATAGATCAATGAATTTATAAAGGCAACGGCCTGGGTTTATGATGTCTATCCAGTTCTTAATTAATGTGAAGGAAAATGAATCTTGATGGAGAAAAAAGAAGATGAAACTTAATCCCCAATCCAAGTTTTTCAGTTTATGAATAAGTGGCAATTAAGAGACCCTTTTGGTTACAGGTTGAACTGTTCAAACATCCCCATCTTTTGTTGTTACAAGTGAGGAACTCTATATATAAGCTTCCAGGTGGTCGAGTTAGGCCTGGTGAATCAGGTGCCAACACGGTATCCTTTTTGTATCACTTTCTCATCATTTCAGGGTCATCATATATTAGCGAAGTGCCATGGAACTGAGACATCATTTTTTTATTTTTTATTTTCTTTTCCCGTAGATATTGACTGCCTCAAGCGCAAGCTTACAAGCAAACTATCTATGGAAGGACACGGCAGCTGGGAGGTGTGGGGACTTTTTTTCATCCATCAAGTTTTGTTGATGATTGGGGGTTACTTAAATGCTTATTTTAATTCTAATTTGAAGGTAGTAGAATGCATTGGAATGTGGTGGAAGCCTGATTTTGAAACATTGGTTTATCCATATTTGCCACCAAACATAGAAAGACCCAAGGTTGGTTATAAGCTAGCTTCTGCACTTTGAAATTTCACTCTCTAGCTTAATTTAGAGAGAGTTGTTTTCTTTTGTAGGAATGCACAAAACTTTATCTTGTGAGGTTGCCTGCAAGCTGCAAGTTCATTGTACCCAAAAACTTCAACCTACTCGCGATTCCATTATGTCAAATCCATGAAAACCGCAAGGTATTGTAGTTGGTAAATTTTAATGTAGACTTATTTAGGTAATGCAATTAGATTTTCTTTCTGGGAAAAAAAAACCATTGGATTTGAGATGCTATATATTTGATAGTTGATACCCCTATGGCCCTATGGCAGCCTCTTTTGACTCAATTCACAAATTTTGATATTTTTGATCCTTTATTCAGGTCTTCTAATTTATTTACGCTAATCCATACAATGACCCTTTTACCTTTGTAGACCTATGGACCAATAATATCTGGAGTTCCACAGCTTCTGTCAAAGTTCTCCATCAATGTAGTTGAACCGTAAAGAAAAAATGACACTTTTAGTCTCTCAATGTAGATTCAGTCTTTCAAGTTATTGGCAATGTAGATTTCGTCTTAAATTCTTAGTGAAATCATGAACGTTTTCGTTAAGAACTTAGACTCTAAATCCAAGTGCAAGTGCTGATATGAAGAGATGTTACTGTATTATTAGTGGTGGATTCTTTGTTTGTTTGTTTATTTGTTTTTTTTTTGTGTATCAAATAGCATTTTTTTTGTAATTTTTAATTTTATCTGTTACAGAGTGGCATTCTCCTTCCATCTCCATGTATATAACTGGTCATCTCGCAGATGGAATTGTAATGCATATGCATTTGATAATTTCAATGTGTTATGTATGTATGATTGGAATATATGGAATCTTGCAATCTCTATGTGTTTCATACGTTCAATTGATTTTGCATGCGAGTTAGGGAGTGTCACGAGTCTAAATGGGTCAAGCAATATAAATTTATAACATTAAATAAAAATTATTAATTTTTGAATTTTTTTTTACTTTTGATCCCTTGATTATTTTACATGTATCAAATTTGGTCATTGACTAATAATATTTTTAGATTAGATGCATAATTATGTAATTTATATCACATTTGGTCATTGACTATTAATATTTTCTAATTAGGTGATGACTATGTAATTTGTATAACATTTGGTCTTGCCGTCTAATTTTTCGGCATGACTAAATGTGATACAGATTACATAGTCATACACATAATTTGAAAATATTTGTAGTTAATGACCAAATTTGGTACATGTACAATAGTTAATGGACCACAAGTGATTTTTTTTCTCAATTCTTAATTAATTTTGGAGTGACAATAGAAATTTGCAGTCACTATTCGAAGGTGTGTATGAGGTGAAATTCGTTCTTGTATAATAACTTGCAAATCACACTAGAAATAAATTACATAAGAAAATTCTATACAATTGACTCGATTGAGATTAAAAACATCTTATTATTTTAATCTTTAACAAGATTAGATGACATCTCTACCTAAATTAATTTCTTGTACAAGATTCGAACTATAAACTTCTAACAAAGCGTTTGGTTACAGGGAAGGGGAAAAAAATAGCGTTTTTGTTAGATTATTTCACTACATTACTTCCACCAATTATAAATATTTGAGTCTCAAAGACTAAGTAATAAAAAGTCAACCAAACCATTTTCTTCCACATCTCTTTCTTCTCTTAGATTCTCAAATCCATTTGCCAATGACCTATGAGATATTGACTCATCAACGACTAAAAGATAATAGGTCAAGAATTTAAATTTAAATTATGTATATATATTAGGATAATATATTAATTTTATTTCTAAAAACATTATAACCGTGCAATCAATTTTTTTGTAAGGAACACTCATTATTAAGAAGAATAAGGAAAAAAATGACATTTTAAATTATTTAATTATTAAGAAATAATTAACTTAGTTCTTTAACTATTGAGATCTTCACATTTAGTTTCTCAGTTATTTGGTAGTAAATATGGTCCTTTGATTATAATTGATGGATTATATTTACTTGTTAAAATGATAATTGATTGACTAAATGTAAAAATTCTAATAATTGAAGGATTGCACAAATTTTTTTTCACCTTAAAGATTAATTTCCTTCTCCCTCATTTATTTTCAAGAGCCTACCTTTTTTTTGAATGCTACTAGCTCTATTACATTGTTAGTATGTGTTCATATACTTTCTCAATCTACTGAAACACAAAGAGCTAATAACGCCTCCACTGAGGTTCGAACTTACAACCTTCCAAATAGAAGTCCAACCCGGGTACCATTAGACCACATAGTCCTGGTTTTCAAGAGCCTACCTAATTATCTTAAATGATGAATTTAAGGAGTTTATAAAAATAATAAATGTGTTGTTCGACTATTAATTTATAATCTCAGACTCTCAGTCAATACCGAACATATTTTTTTAAAATTTAAAATCATTGCAACTTACCACATGCTCCACTGCGATGGCATAGTTAGTGCAAATAGCATTAGAGTAACCTCATTTGTAGTTTTTTTAGTTGAGTTGGCTGTGGCCTGTGAGAGATTTGGAGGAGAGAGAGGAGAAGAAAGGGATAGAGGGAAAAATATTATATGTACTCTCATTTTTTTTTTTTTAACTTTTACTCGCACGCATAAAATTTTGATGTAGACACTTGTACTGAAACCCACATGAAAAAAGTAGCTTATTAGTGTCCACCATATCACGAATAAAATTTAGGGGTAAGATTGAAAAGTTTATGTAGTAGAAACTCGCTATCGCGCACCAACTGCGTCACTGCAAGCGCGCGCTCGCTGGACGTGTAAACCAGTGTTATTATTAATATTATTATTTGACACATTTTTTTCTTTTTAGTTCATAGATTCTGGAATTTTAGTTCATTCATTCCGGAATTTTTAGGTTATAGATTAGATTCTGGAATTTTAGTTCATAGATTATGAAATTATAGTTCATCGATTCTGGAATTTTAATTCATATGTTGTTGCTGGGAATCGAACCTGAATTTTTTTTTTAATGGAAGACGCGCGTTTTTAATAAAACGACGTCGTTTTTGCATCTGTATGCACCATGCATGGTGCATACGGATGCACAGCATAATTTGCCTCCCCACACCGTAACCCGATATGATTGTGGATGAATAAATCATGATAACTCAATTAAATTTTATTATTAATTACTTATGACAAATTTTACCTTTATGACCAGTTAAGTTGTTGAGCATCATACTAATATACTTATTATATCATACTAATATACTTATTATATGCATGGGTGTATACATACGTACGGATACAAGGAAAAATCAACTCATTGTTTCATTAGATTGCAAAGACTTGTGAAAAGACTGCGTTTAGTGGAAATCACATTCACAAGCTCAGCTCGGATTAGAATTACAATGAAGAAAGGAGCTTTTGCCCCTAAGCTCACGCTCTCTGTCCCTGCAAGAGATGAAGTTTCCAAATTCCTGTACTTTTCTTCTTCCCTGTTTCTTCGTCTTTATCTTTCTGTATATACACCTGCTGATACGTGTACGCGAATACATATACTCCGTACATCACAATGTATTTAATGATGTATATATGTTTCTGTGTTGTTTTTTGGAGGAATTATTGGGATTTTGGTGGTGTGTGTAGGACCGAATCCGGGACGTTTAAGGATGGGAATCTGCTGGTGAACAAAAATGGGATTCGGATTATCTCAGAAAACCAAGCTGAATCTGTATGGCTCTACTGAAATTTCACCTCCAGGGTTTCTTTTTCCTCCATGCCCCTTTCACTATAATGCTCTAACTTTCTTGGAGAAATGGGAATTGAATGGTTTAATTGTAGTTAGGGTGATGGTGTTTCTTGATTCTTCTTACTTTTTTGTGTGTTGATCTGGGATTTCCATTGACATCTGAATCATAGGCTACAATCATCATACATTCATACATGACCTTTTCCTTTATGTCTCATTGTTATGTTTGTTATGTGTTGTGGGTTTGATCAAGCATGGAAAATGGCAATCTTTGTTTCTGATTCTTGAAAATGCAAATCCTTTTTGTTCAGTCTTCAGCTATACAGCCATCGAATAACCAGCTATGCTTAGCAGACTTCGAATCGATTAAAGTTATTGGAAAGGGAAATAGTGGGATTGTGTGGCTCGTTCAACATAAGTGGACGCAACAACTTTTTGCTCTCAAGGTATTTTATACCTTCATATTCATTGTGAACTGTAAAAACTACTCAGAGTCTTCTAAGGAGAAAGCGATGATGAATTGTGCAAGGAAGAATAAGGAAATGGTTTGGCATGCTTGAGATAGTGTAATCTAAACGGGAAACTTTGATAGTTATTAATGCATAGGTTCAGTTCATTTGTTTTCTTATTGCTCGATTCTACTCATGTTTAGGTTATCCAAATGAACATCGAGGAGTCAAGTCGCAAGCATATTGCACAGGAATTGAGGATTAATCACTCATCGCAGTGTCCTTATGTGGTCATATGTTACCAAGCATTTTTTGATAATGGCTCCATCTCCATGATCTTGGAGTACATGGATGGTGGATCTCTCGCGGATTTCTTGAAAATAGTCAAAAAAATTCCAGAACCATACATTGCTGCTATCTGCAAGCAGGTATAAACTGTTTTTGAACTTTGATCCATAGAATTGAGTTTTCATACTATTAAAGTTTTTGCCTTGTTCAATCAGGTACTCAAGGGCTTGTGGTATCTTCATCACGAAAAGCATATCATCCACCGTGACTTGAAGCTTCCAAATTTGCTAATAAACCATAGAGGCGATGTCAAGATTACCGACTTTGGTGTCAGTGTAATACTCGAGAGCACATCTGGAGCAGCTAGTACCTTCATTGGCACCTACAATTATATGTCTGTGAGTACGTTATGCAATATGCATGGACTGAGGATACTTACTATATATGAATGACAAAAATGTACTACATTGTTGCCATTCACGAGACTGTTGGATATGCTTTCCTTAATTCCTTAACATATTATGCTGCACTTTGTGATTTCCTGTGTCTGTCTACACGTCTTGTTTGATGGTAGCCAGAGAGAATTGCGGGAAAGAGTCATGGATTTAGAAGTGACATCTGGAGCCTGGGTTTAGTTCTTCTCGAGTGTGCAACAGGTGATTTTCCATATTCCCCGCCCCAGGGAGGGGAAGGATGGACCACTGTTTTTGAGCTTATGGAAACCATAGTGACTCAACCAGAGCCGTATGCAAATCCAGATCTGTTTTCTCCACACTTCTGCTCATTTATTGCTGCGTGGTAGGTACTAAACTTTTAATTCGCTTTCACCATAGATGCAGTCACTGATAAGCGGTGAAAAACAGTGGAAGAAACCTTTTGGAGTACCTATAAGTTCATGCTTAAACAGTTAAAAGTAATGGCATTGGCTATGGTGTACTACAGTGACACCTACTCATACCCACTGTTGCAAAAATCGGTCTAGGCGCCCCTAGACCGTGACGATTTCCCCCCTAGTTCATGAGGTGTATTACTTGTGGGGACAACTCCAGCCAAGCTGATTAGGCTGTTGATTTGGTAACAACAAGGTTATAACTTATAAGTTCAACTCTCAACAATGGGCTGTTGAGTGGCGTATTAGCCTTTTTGGTTTGAGCTATGGGCAACCTAGACTGGTTTACTTCCTTGTGGTCCTTTGCTGGCTAAAGTCACAAGGCGGGGTTTACCCAGTGGCCAGTGCACACCCTTGGGTAGTGGCTACGAGTTTTCCCTTGTCATTAACAAAAGAAAAGAAAAAGAATGTATTACTTGTACTTGTTCTTTGTTATGGACATTCTTGAATATAGTTAACTACTTTCAGTGTGCAGAAGGACCCCAATAAGAGATTGTCAGCATATGAACTAATGGTAATTGTGGAATTTATGTTACTTAGCCTCTCAAAACTCAAAAGGTTGGAATTGTGTGCTATTCATCTTAATGTATTGTGACTCGATGCAATTCTATGATGTACAGAGACACCCTTTCATCAACATGTACGACGACCTGGATATTGATCTTGCATCCTACTTTACCGCTATAGGACCTCCATTTGCAACGCTATGAGCTATAATTGGTACGTTGTTCTTCAACCCGTTCTTGTTACTCTTATCGTTTATAGATTCAATTGCCCGTTTTGGCGTTTTGTTTAAACACATCAAACTCAATGACATTTCTGCAGAATGTGTTGGTAAAGCATTAGTCTTTGAGCTATTTCTGCAGATTATTATGTTGGGTTTCTTAAGAGACTTTGTTTCATCTACAGGCTTTCTGCATACATTCACAAGGAGTGATGTGCAATTACACCAATACCCCCATGGATATTGCTTGAAACTGCTACTTCAGAAGCCTTATTCAGTCATTTTAGAGTCCCCTCCATCCAATCAGCCATGGCCTCCCCAGCAGTAACCAACCCATCCACCATTATACATTATATATAGATACAGGAAAGTATTTTTTCCATTTTGCACAATGAACAGACACTAAGATTAAAACAACAAATGACTCTGTAGTTGTACTATAGTATGTACTCATACTTGCTTCTTGAAATATGTATACAATCAGAGAGTTGGAATATAGTTTTTCTTGTTGCCAGCATGACACTATGATCATTCATATTTGTTCTCATATTCACAATAAAGAGAGAAGCAATCATAAGATAAGAGATAACGAGATCCAATAACTTATACCAAAAAACAGATAAGATAGCGCTGTAGTATCTTGGAACACAAGAATTTGTTATAGAAGTGATGTTGTAAAAGACGCACTTGTACTAGGGCCCACATGGAAAAAAAAAAGTTTATCAGTGTCTGTCACATCATGAAATAAAAGCGAGAGAGTAAGAATTGGGAGTACACGTAGTAAAACTCGTAAAGTGGTTCTTTCACTGCCCAGTCAGACTGCTAGAGATCAAAGCTCAGAATATATTTGTTAGGATACTGTATTTACTGTAATGTGCCATAACAGAAGAAGAAGAAGAAGAAGAGCATAAGACTGCTGCACTAACCTAGCCAGCAAGAAACTCAAACCGAAGCTAGGTTCTGCTAGATTAACGACGTGGGAAGTTGGGAACCGAGTTTAAGATTATTATTTAGTAACAACACTATGCTTTCTTCTTGAACTTCCTTTGAGCCTTTAGATCCACCACAATAACCGAGATGTTATCTCTGCTTCCCCTTTGGAGGGCGATTCGGGTGAGGTACTCTGCTGCATCTTGGGCGGCTGGGTCAGGGTCGTCGCTTCTTTCTCTAGACAGCATAGTACCGCCATTCTTCTTGTGCCAGAGCAGAAGCCGTCGCCTTGCCACATCACACACCTCCTCGTTAGTCATCACATCCCATAGACCATCGCTCGCTAAAACAAGGCACTCGTCTTCTTTTGCCCGTGGGACAAACATTATCTCCGGTACTGGTATCACATATGGCCTCAGATATCTATCACCTATCGCCACCATTACAAATGGAAAACGCCTTGTTATAACAATCAAATCGTATGGTTTCATATCATGGATAAAAATTACATCTTTTATCAAAACTTATATTTCGATAATATTCAATTAACACTATACATACCAATGGATCTTGAAACTGCAAGCACACCAGAAACGCGGTGCCCATCCCAATTAATGACCTTGCCTCCCAAAGCTTCGATTCTCGAGTACTCATCTTCTCTATTTGGCTGAAAATAAAGAATGCATTTAAGGATATTTGGATTTCAAGAAGTATTAAAGTCCAATTATACGTATAAACCTTACTTTGTGATCGACTGACAATGGCATGGGTAATTTTCCCCGGCACAGGACTGCCCTAGAATCGCCACAATTTGCTACAATTATATTAGTGGGACAAAGAATGGCAACCACAGCGGTAGATCCAACTGCTTCTGGTGCAATGGGTGGAAAGCCCAACTCAACTTCACCGCCGTCAATTCTAGAGGTTCCTCCAATCTCATCATCGACTTTTTGGAAACAACTCAATAACGCCTTTTCCCACTGCTCCTTCCAGTTACCTCCAACACTTTCAATGCGCAAATCCTCCTTCACAATGTCCACCTCCTCGGCTAAAGCCAAATGGAGACGTTCACAGCAATAATTAGCAACCTGCAACAATTACGTCTTTGTTCTTATCGTATCCATATATCTATGTTGAGCATATAGTCATTAATGTGCAATCCAACTATCAGTTTAGGCTTTTAGTTGAGATGAAGCACATGCTTCAATTTGGTATCAGAGTCAGACCAAAGGTCATGGGTTCGTGTTGAGCATATAGCCATCAGCTTAAGCTTTTAGTTGAGATGGAGCACATGCTTCAATTATCTATAAGTACCATGAAGAGGACACATAACTTTTATGCTCTACGGGTTTTTTTAAGGGTATAGAAAGTTACCTGAGAGCCTCCATGTCCATCATAAACCCCAAATACGTGTGCTGTTAGGTTTTGATTCCTTGTACTAGCGATTGGGACATCCATTAGCATTCGAGAAGGGATTCCCGAAAACCTTGGTAGAGCTACAGCAGCATCTTCCATTTCCGGCCTCTTTCCACAGATAGATGTGAGTCCCCATAGAGGCGGGGAATCAAAAGCAAACGCATGTTGTCTTATTAATTTCAGTTCCTTCGAAACTTCAAGAAGAGATGGCGGTAGTTTCCTTTTAGAGTCTCCAACGAACAAGCCATTCACCGGGACAGGAACAAGGCCGCTTACAAGTTCTGACATTTTAGCTGAATCCCATGAATGGGCCTTCTTTATGTTCTGAAACCCGCCAATATCTGGTGCGAAACTGACCTCCAAAGCAGCACAACCTTTCTCAGAACTAGATAAAATGCTACCCGCTATTCTTTCACCGGTCATCAAGTCATGGCCTTCGAAAGTTTCATCTATCATGTTAGTAATAACCATCTCCGAGACAAACTTCTCTCCTCCACCTCCTTGGAGGTCAGCCATTCTCGAGTGGTCAAAGCCATCCCGTGGAACTCTACAATTGTAATGCACACTAGCATTAGCAATCGAGACCAAAGGGAGCATGACCTTTGTGGGTTCCGAGAGCAAACTTGTGTTTGCTATCAGCTCGATTCCATTGATATCCATACACGATGGAAGCACGGATTCATCATACACCAGGCTTCCGGGCTTGAAAGGCACCTCCTCCATTCGATTTCCTCTCGAGACCCCCAACTTAAAAACCCCCCAATCAAAACTATACACCTCTCCTAATTACACCACACCTCAAGTCACCAAACAAAGGGCACTTTCAGATTTCAAATATTATTATACAAAGAAGCCAGTTTCAGGTCCCATACAAGAGAATCAAATTGATGAAAACCCTGGCTCAAATTGGAATCCATTACAGGGCAGAATATGGATCCAAACACTTATGTTTCAATTTCAAAGGGAATCATATCCGGTTTCAGCATCTTCTTAGCTCCTATTCCAATTATATTCTCACCACATCAAGAAAGCCAAACAGCAAGGTCCCATCCCACAATCAAACCCCACCCCACCCCTAAATAAATGAAAAAAAAAAAAAAAAACAAAGAAATAAGAAAAATCAGATCAATGTCTACCGGTCTTAGCTCCTCATACACACAATAAAGAAAAGATAACTTACAAATCCACAGAAGAATCCCAAGAAATCAATTCAGCTGCTGACCAAAAACTCCCCAACTTCAGATTCTGAAGGTAAAGAAACCTCCTTTCTCTCTCTGCGCCTAACAAACTATCATCAAGAACACAAAAAGACTCAATCTTTACACACCCACAAGTCACATATCATGGAATCAGGGAAGAAACCACAAGGAAAACCAAATCATACAAAGAGACAAGTAGGGAGTTGCTTACCGTTCCAAAACAGTGCACTAAAAGGGTAGACTATGACTTTTAGATTAGGCCTTTGGTTAAAAACCAACTTAAACTAATCTGGGAAAAAAAAAAATTCTTCAAACAAATAAAAAGGAAATATAGAAGAGGGGGAGAAAGAGAAATGGATGTGTGATGTGTCTGCCCAGAGACTAGAAGTAAAAAAATAAAAAATAAAAAAATAAAAAATAATTGTGCTCGAGTCATGTGGGACCCACCTGTCAGGGGACTGACCAATGGGGAGCTTACAAGTGATTTGTTGGTGGGGGACCATGTCCTTGTTTTTCTTGAAATTTGATCTGATGCAGACCTAATCAGATGATTGCGGGTCCCACTGCCGCTCTGATTCTGCCACGTTGAGATCAAGGGTCTTGTAATCAAGCTTTGGGGCGCGTGACTGCCACAAGGGGGTGACGTGGTATAATTGTTGATTTGCTTTTGCACCCCCTGCCCCTTTTTGTGATTTGGGAGCACGGATGAGGGTATTTTTGGAACTTTAAATTTTCACTTTGATCCTCTCAAGTTTAAGCAATTGCATATTCTTACCAATTAATTTGGTGCCAACCCCACTATGTTTATCTAGAATTAAGGTTTATTTAAAAATGATACAAATTTAGAGTATATTCACGGAATGTGGATTAGATGACACATGTTTCTTTTAACTAAGTTTCGAAATCGAGCCCGCGATATTCTTTTTTTTGTGGTCCGGGTCTTTCTCTGTCCGTTTAACAGTCCAGATCCACTCGGTTCGCTTCGAGAGACACAGAAGCTGGCCCAAAGGGAACCGTCACTTGTGGAAATCGAACCCGAGTTATCCCGGAATTCTTCCCCACAAAGAGAGCTCATTTGCCACTTGAACTACACTGTTGGGTTGAGCTCGCGATATTCTATTTCAATAATTCTACATTTTTAAGATAGGAGTAATTAAATCGGCTAACTAAAAACAAAAGACATAAAAATGAAGATTCTAAACTCTTAGAACCCCATGTCCCCAACAACTATTTATACGCAGTTTTTTTTTTTTTTTTTTTTTTTTTTTTTTTTTTTTTTTTTTGGCATGAGAGATAACTGGAGAGAGAAGAAAATAAATTTGCAAAGAGTTGAGCTTTTTTGTGAAACCCACATGAGAAAATAAACTATGTTGGTGCGCGCTACGCGTATTTGAAGCCAATTTTTATTTATTTTGCCTTTTCCCCCTTATTTTTCTCCCTTCTCTTTTATTAGGAGAAAAAAATTCGGTAAAAATTTTTCAATAGTTGGGATGCTCTTAGAAACTTAAAATAGAAAAATCAAACTTTATAGGACAGAAATATGACCAAAGTTCTAACACTTGTGTCTTGCTTGTATAGTTTCTCCTTCAATTAAATGTATCTTCCTGCAAATTTAACTATACATAATTAAATAATTCAATGGGGCCTTTATTGAACTTATTAGGCTTGTCCTCTACTTTGGGCTCCTTTCCAATAATTGTTTACTCAAAAGGGAAATTCATTTTGCTAATAAAAGAACTTGATCCATATTGAATTATTTGCACACCATCAAAGTATGAATAAAATAATATTCAAGTCTTTATCACAATGGATAAGCCAAGTAAATGAAGGTTATCAGTTGACATAAAAGTGGAACTTTTACCACTCAAATGTTATGCACTCTTCAATGTATAATATATGTAGTAATCCATCCCACAATATAATAATTTACCACAATACATCGTATGACTCATATTGATCAGTCAAAGATGTACCGTTATTTTTCTTTTTTGAACATCGACCAATGGGTTGCATTTATAGATAAACTGAAATAGCGTTCGATGGAATAGTATCACAATACATAGTCGTATCATACTAAAAAACTATAGAAGCTAAACTATGTGCTAAATAATTCTACGATCTAGGAATGAAATTAACACGGCAAAATGTAAAAGCTGATAAATAGTTCCTGCATCCATCAATAGCATAGTCGATATATGATCGTGACGACAGATGTGGGGGGTCAAATAATTCCGAAGAGTCTGACAATCTGTATAGAGCTCAATAGATTGCTCTCCACGGTTGCGTAACTAAGAAAGGACCTCTTTACACGCACATGCCTCAGCCATTAGCGGAGAGAAACAATGGGTTAAGGGCGCACTGTACGCTGAGACAAATCGACCGTCCGCCCCCATAAGCACTGCTCCTACTATAGCTGAGTTGTCCACATGACGATAGCCGGCATCGACGTAGCACCTGTTCGGTGCTTGCATTGAACTAAGGTGCGGTGGCAACCCCGGAGTCTGGTGGGTAATGTGGCGCAAGGCTCTCGGCTGTTGCACATTTCCGACGCTGTGGCTGGTAGTAGACGGCAGCAGTGGTTCGGCCACGTTGTGTACCGTTATTTTTCTATTTATTTAATTTCAAACAAAACTATGTACTCCTAATTTTTATTTTACATAAAACAATTGTTATACACTTATACCATGCACCACGGTGCACATAGCACTGTGCGCCTCCCAAAATGACATCGTTTAGTTAAGTTGTGTGGGGAGTTGACGCAACAGCGTGTATGTGTATTATGTTATATAATTATGTACATTATGTTATACAATTATGTAATTCTGGTATATAATTATGTATTTTTTTATACAATTATGTACATCGCGATTTTTTTAACAATTAAAAATTTGTGTATTCTGTTATACAATTATGTACATTTTCAAAACATGATTTTTTTTTTTTAACAAGTTAACAACAAACACAAAAAAGCAGAATTCAAAAAAAAAAAATGCAAAACGCAGAATTTCAAAAAAAAATGCAAAATGACGTCGTTTTGTACCAAGACGCACATTGCAATGTGCGTCATGGTGCACAATATAAATTGCCTCACATATATATGGTAATATAGGAAACCAAGGGGTAAAATCATTCTAAGATAAGAATTAGACAACTAGATATGTACATTAAAAATGTACATTGTATTCAAGAAATGTACATTATTTGAGTACTGAAAGTACATTATTTTGTATAATGTATATTCAGTAGACGAATAATGTATTTTTAGTATATTAAAAATGTATTTTTTTTATGGTCCGCACCATAATTTGCCCTACAACACACAATAAGACTAGGAAACTGGAAAGAACAATATGTTTGTGAGGAATCAGGATGGTGGGTGTTGGTATTTGCTCATCCACATGTCCTTCCCATTAACAGTGAACTTTGCAACCTGTGCGCCTTGAAGAATGGAGTTGATGGTTGCAGGAGAGAAGAACACTACATGGGCATGTGCATATAGGGGCTGCTGCATTTGGATGGACTCAATGCAGTTCCCAAACGCCCCAGTGATGAACTCACTTATTTCCCATTCAGAAACAGGAAACCCACTGGAAAACGCAACACACATCGTCCTCATCCTGTCCTCAAATGGTACCTCGTTGCGTTGAGGTCTCGCCACAGATGACTGCCCTCCCAATTGTCCAAATTGATCCACCATCTCGTTTTGCCTTTGCTGCTCACTGTTTCTGTTAGGTGGCGGCATCGCCATCATATCTGTCAACACCTTGGCATATATTTCTTTGAAGATCTTCCCGACCCCACACATTGCTTGCTCCCGGTTTTCATGGATGTACTGCAGGGACAACCCTTTTCCCAACACACGTTGAGTAAGTACAATCTCTCTTGCAGCGGGAGAGAGCAGAAATTGGGTGTCGCCGATGCATTGAAGGCATGTCAAAGCATCTTCAGCAAGTCCACTTATTAAGTTCCTGGGCAAGGACAAAAATGTTTGGGTGACATTGAAACCAGTTTGTTCCAACCAATTCCAAAACACAATTATCCACAGAGACTTCCTGGGGTCATATCCAATCTCAAAAACTAGGATTGAGTAAAGTTTCCTGTCAACATTATATAAAATCCTGAATACCCGCTTTGGATCATTAATTGGCTTAGAATCCATGGCAAATTATGCAGGATGTTACACCTGAGAACCACAAAATTCACACCATTAGGCTTCAATCTCGTAAAAAAAAAAAAAACTAAAAACTTTCTCAAAAAGCAACAGCAGAAAACGAGAAAGTGTCAAACTAATTGATGGCAGATTCTACAATGCAAAAGCACTACATTTGGCAAAGATTCTTAGATTTAGTCATTCAGCATAAGAATAGCAATATTTATAATCAAGAAATAAAAGCAGAAGAACCCTGTGACTAACCAGATGGAGGAAAGGAGGAAAAACAAAAATAAAAAACGGAATGAAAAAATTTAACATGAACTGGAAGCTCACGATTACTTCAAACAGGCCAATACATCAGTAAGATGAAAAAAGGCCAAGTGATAGCGCCATTGTAGTTTTCTCCATCTACCATTTTAGTCACAATGGAGATAGATAGATCACAATCAAACTGATAGGAACAGTGAGTGATATTACATAACTAAAGCATAGAGGAAAGTAAGATATGTTTCAAAAGAAGAGAAACCTGAAGAAAAGACCTCAACGAAAAGGGAATATCATATTGATTTTTTGATGCATCCATCTCCCCTGCAGACCAATATATATAGGAGAGTAGGAGACTAACCTTATTTAATTTGGTAGCAATAAATGTTTCCAGATTCTATTTTTAAAAATGAACGACATAAATGAAGATATCGGCTTGTAATAAATTCTAAAGTTCACCGTCAGAAAACCTTTACGCAAGTGTGAACAAGAGTGAAATTAGTCAAAGCACAGAATCCAAATCTGAAAATTTTATTAGTGTTGACTGTTGCGTGTTGAGAAAGCATCGTCACTTGAAACCAATAGGTTGCAGGTTCAAGTCAGTTGGGGATATGTCTTTAAGAATTCTTGTATTGCATTTACCTTTCTAGTGAGGCCAAAAATAGCTGTCTAGTTTGAACCATATAGTGTGTGTTCTACTGTTTTTGCATTCTAATGACTTGATACATTCAGGTTTAGGGGACATGGTTGTTTAGGAAATTGCTACGGTTTGGAGAAGTCTTATTTTATTAAAATTATATTACATAGTTTAGATATTAAGAAACTACCAAGTAGTTATTTAGCATATTACTTAGTTTAGTTATTTAGAAACTACAAAATAGTCATTTAGCTTATTACATAGTTTAGTTATTTAGAATCTTCTAAATAGTTATTTAGCTTATTACGTAGTTTAATTATTTAGAAACTAATAAATAAATATTTAACGTATTACTCTTATTCTTCAAATTAGTTTAGATGGTTTAGTTATTCGAAAACTACCAAATGATTAACTATTACTCTGTATTAGGAATCCTTGTAATCAGCCAAAAGGGAGTGTATTTTGGAAGAATGGACAACCAGAAATTTAATCCAGAAGGGTCTAAGGGAGTTTTGGGTCTCAAGCAAACCCAACATTTTCTTTTCCTTTTTGTGTTTTCTTGTCCGTGATGTGAGCTCATAACATGACTCCAAAACTGGTTATCTAGCATCCAATCATGAAGTGTGTCTTTTACAGATTACTAAATCTACTTTAAGAAGAAATATATATGGTTAAATTTTGAAAATATGTTCAATTACGCACTTTTGATGGTTCATAAAGAGTTCATATCCAGATATTTAGTTTCATCATTCATGATATGTCTTTAGTCATAACATATTCCATACAAATCAAAGTATTACAATAACAATGTATACGTACATCAAAACAAACTGTGTTACGAATCACTTAATCTACTCTAAGCAGAAATATTAAATATATATGGTTAAATTTTGAATTTATGATCAATTATGCGCTTTTGATGGTTCATAGTGCACATCCAGATATTTAGATTCATGATATGTTTTTAATCATAACCTATTCCATACAAATCAAAGTATCACAATAACAATGTATAAGTACATTGAATAAAACTGTTGCTGCAAACTTTGCAAAATTATGTATTAGTGAATATTCTTTCTACTTAAAGAAACTAATTCATCAACTGATTGCTTGAGTCCCCCTCCCCCAATTCTTCAAATCAAATTGTTTTGATTTGATCCTAGAGCTGGCTTAGTCTCCAAAAGTTCAATTCCCTTACAATAAAATAGGAAACACTACATAGCTAATAAGAGATTTGTTTCCTATTAAGCTCATAGAACTTTAATTAAATGGAGTATAAATTACCATAGCATTAACTAGAAAGTTTTCAACTTTTCACACACCAAGCTCTTATCTTATAAGACTTCACAATTTAAAGTAAATCATTGAGAATGTCTAACTAAATTAGTGCGCTCCCTCACTTGCAACCTGTAGGTAGTGGAGTTGAGTCACCTTGAGAGGTATGACAGGAACAAAAATTGATCAATGATTATTTGGTAGGAGTGAGAGGTGAGGGTGGGAACTTCCAGTAAGCATCAAATTTCATGCACTGATGTCCATGTCAATTTTTTAGAAGAGAGAGGAAAAAAAAAAAGGTGCATATTATGGTTGCTATTAATTAGTATGGTTCAGTTTCCTATTAGGCTCGAGTTCAAACCAAGGTTTGTGTAATTTCAACATATGCTTTTATGGGACTCAGGCCTGGTGTGATTCTCAATTGCTCACAATTAGACTATTGAATTATGATGTGGGAGCCTTTAACGCCATCTCTAACCCCATCAAGTCTATTTAAGCCTAATCCTGAAGTTTGAATACAATGCAAGCGGCAAGCCTGCACTGGGATGATTCTAATCTAGCCAAAGCACATTAAACTCCAAGTGGTTTGCTCCCCTTAATCTTTCTCAAGCAACAATTTTAGCCATCTATTTGAAAATTTTATATATCTTATATTCATAAAAATGAATCTGGAACTTATGCCACCTACTATGTGTAGTGCACTACTTCAATATTCTTTTGTTAGGAATGGTAGTGAAGCAAGGCTTCCGAGTTGCTTATCAGATTCAATGAGTATGTCAAACATTATAAAAACTCAGGCCTTTCAAAGAAGTAAGATGTGAGTGCAATAAATTTATGATACCTTGCATTGGGATGTTACACTGAGAGGTCAAAAAATTCCAGTAGCAGTCACCAGGTCTCTTCCCTGCAAGGAGGAGAACAACTTGGTTTAGCCACCTTTTAACCTTGCATATCAAAGGGCACATTTTCTCAAACATCTTACCTGTATTTATATGTGAGGTATATGTACAAACTTGGGCCTGTTTAACGATCATGGCAAAGAGCATTTGGAGCTCTTGAGGTTCCCACCTCCTTGAACATCTATTGGACTTCATATCATAGGGTGACGAAGAAAATCAAGCTATGGTTATCTTCTCTAGTTCTTTAAGCCAAGAGTTGTCAGCAGCAGCAACACCATGCAGATCAGACAGGGAAGAAAAACCGCCATGAAGTGAACTGTTCAGAATGTGGTAAGGAGGACACATTGTTGGATTTTCGTGGTTGCGGAGGAACAAAGAAACAAGGTCACAATGTAGTAGATTTGAAAGGTTCAGTGTTTTCGTTGTTCTGAGATTGTTGTAGCAAGTGCCAGAGAGCTTCTGGAGTTGGTAGGCTTCTTGTACATGCCTCTACTGATAAAATTACAATTCCTGACAAAGGAATTATTATGAGCAATTTCATTCTTCTGTTTCCTTGCATATGCGCTCTCTGGCTTCACAATGTCTTTCAAGGAGGAACAAGAAGCCGCATCTGATAGACAGGTAGATGATTTGGATTTACATCTCCTGAAAGCAAGGGGAAAGATATTAGCAAATGAAGTAAACAAACAATGTGGTGAAAGCAATTGAAGAGTATACATTGCAATGTTCAATGTTTCTTAACAAAATAAATACAAATTGTGAAAGTGAATTCAATTACAAGTGATGGATACAGATACCAGAAAAAAAAAAAAAAATGAAAGAAACAGAGAAATCAAGGGGCTAAAGGCTGACGGTGCAGGAAAGAGGATGATGTATTTTGAATTTGTGAACACTCTTTCTTGAGTTTCTTCACAACTAAGAACACACTGTTCAAACAGCTCACTCCATACTTGCTAATTATAACTTTGAATTTAACAAATAAGTACCTCTCACAAATAAAGCAGTATTGATAAGTAAGTGAAGTCACTACAGTACACATACAAAGCACAAACCAGAAATAATACCTCCAGTCCAGTCCAGTCCAGATTGACGCAAACACGAAAGCCTACCTCAACTCTGAAGCCATCAAATTGATGTTGTACAGCTCCTCAAAATTAGCTGGTTCTTCTCCACCCGATCCACCTCCCTCCATTCTCAAGACTTGAGAAAATAAAATAGAAAACATGCAATGAAAATGATATTGAACTTGAACTTTCGATACCAAATCGTTTGTACGTAAATTATCGCGGAGATTAGTAGAAGAAAGAAAGAAATTCACACCTTGATATGAGTGGGAATGTGAAGAAGTGATAGGAGTGCAGGCCAGGGGTGTGTTTCAGTGCAATATTCTGCTTCGGAGGAGACGGACTTTGCATTCTCAAATCTCAATACTTCAATTCGGAGATTGGTCCGAAATCTATCTATGTGGCACTGCCGTCTGCCAGGCCCAGATACGCATTTCGCAATCATTAAACCCGTGCACCAGGGCGCAATGTGCGCCTCCCAAACCGATGTTGTTTTGTATTCTGTTATAAAATTTTGTATTTTTAGGTATAAAATTATGTATTTTCTATTATATAATTATATACATTCGAAATATGAGAATTTTTAATTATAAAATTTTGTGTTTTCAGGTATAAAATTCTGTGTTTTTTATTATATAATTATGTACATTCAAAACATGGGAATTTTCAGTTATAAAAATTCTGTGTTTTCAGGTATAAAATTCTGTGTTTTTTATTATACAATTCTGTACATTCGAAACATGATTTTTTATGGGATTAACAGCAAACACGCGAAAAAGATACAAAACGACGTCGTTTATTATGCGTCTTGGTGTACGGTATAATTTGCCAACATTTGGGAAACACCAGGAAATGTATAAATATATAGATATTGTTATAAAACATGATTGATGGACATTATTTTAGGGCTTAATGGCCTAATTTGTAACAGTCAATCTTAATGAATAGATTTGTAACAGCTACCCATTCTTGTGTATATATACTGTACAAATGCTTGAATGAAAGGACACACTGATTTCTTCTAATTCTGGTCATTCTTACTATCACTTCTCTCTACTCTTTTACATTTCCTGTTTTAGTCAATAGATTATATTGCTTACAATACACCGGTTAGGAGCTAACAGGCCAACGGGCACCACAATTACAACACGTTATCAGCACCTCAATACACACCCGGTGAACGGTAATTTTATAAGCTTTTTATGCCCAACTGCATATGTTTATGTTTTTCTAAATATGTGGCTTTTGATGATCTGTTTATATGTTCTCTGGTAGTATATATACAGTTGTGCATATTTTCTTGTGTATTTTGACAAAAAAGAAGGTTCGATCGGCCAATCTCATAGAATATATCTTTTTTTTCTATATGAATCTATCTATATATGATCTGTTTTTTTTACTATGCACTTGTATATCTTTCATAAATTACTGCATTTGTGCATATTTTACTGCATATTTCGAATATACAATCCTGAAGATTGTATCAACTGCATTTTTTCCATTTGTTTCCACTGGGTTAAAGTTTCCCATTCTAAATCTTTTCCATTCATTTTTTTTCCAATTTTGTTTACGAATGGATCAACTGCAATTTTCTTTTCAAATGGAATACAAACAAAAATAAATTTCATTTGTTAAAAAAAAAAAAATTTTGTCGGTATGCTTTCATATGAAACTTAAAATTCAAAATATACACCTTTTTTTTTCGAAAAACACAAATTTTTTTAGAGAGATCAGATGTTCACATTCTGGCCTCGGATTTGTTTTTTTTGAAAATAATACAAAATTGAAACCTGTCTTTCTTGGCCGATCGACCGCCGCTTTTTCCTTTTCTCTCGATCTGCATCATCGAACGGTGGCCGCAGTAGTGGCGATCGGCGGTGGTCTGCGTCGATATGGCGGAGCAGGGCGAACATCTCTTCGAAACAGTTTGCATTAATGGCCATTTTATTTAAGACTATAATAACGCCAGACGCGTTATTATAAATTATCAGGTCTAACTTTGACTAAGGGTTTCTTATCTAGCAGACTAGCAACCTAGATAATGGACCTTCTGATTGGTTCATTTTTTAATGGACCTTCTGTTTTTTTTTCAATGGGCCATCTTTATTCTATTTCGGGTCTATTTGGTTTGTTTAACGTTCTTGGCCTTGCTTAAATTCTGGACCCATTTAATTTAAATTCTGGGCTTAAGTTTCTCAATTTTTGAATTAACCCAATTTCTTAAAATCATCTTCCATCATCTGTTATTTGGTCCTACATTTATTTATTTAAGGTCTTTGGACTAGCCTTAAATCTATGCATGCTCATACACTTTAGTAAATATTTTTTGAAAATTATAGATTATGCCTGCCATCGCAAAACGTGAATTCACCGAGCTTTCCCTGGATGGAAGCAATTATTTGACATGGGCCCTTGACGTTGAGATTTATCTCACATCAACAGAACTACAAGACACAATCATTGAAAATTCCCCGAGCGATGACGCTCAGAAAGCTAAGGCCCTAATTTTCCTCCGCCACCACCTCAACCATGATCTCAAGAATGAGTACCTCACTGAAAAAGACCGACATGCCCTTTGGAAATCCCTTAAAGATCGTTTTGACCAGCAGACATCACTGATCTTGCCACAAGCACAATTCGATTGGTTAAACCTCCGATTCCAGGATTTTAAATCAGTAACCGAATATAACTCAGCTTTACACAAGGTCGTATCTCAGCTCAAGCTATGTGAGCAGGAACTCTCAAATACAGACTTGATAGAAAAAACCTTGTCCACATTTCATGCTAATGATCTTGTACTCCAGCAGCAGTACAGGGCCAAAAACTATTCTAAGCATTCAGAGCTGATTTCTGCGTTACTGGTCGCTGAAAAGCACAACCAATTGTTGATGCGTAACCACAATGCACGCCCAACCGGCGCTGCACCTGCACCTGAAGTGCACCATGTTGCCCAATCAAGCAACAATCGGAGGGGACGGGGTCGAGGGCGAGGAAGAGGCCGCGGTAGGGACCCGAAGCGAGGTGGCAGGAGCGGAGCTAATAACGGTGATTCTCGGACCCAGAATAAGCAACCTGAAGATCAAACTCATCAAGGACAGCAAAATACGTGCTATAAATGTGGATGCAAAGGACACTGGTCCCGCACGTGTCGCACTTCAAAACATTTGGTCGAAGCCTACCAGATGATGATACAGCGAAATAATGACCGGAAGACAAATGAATCCTCTCAAGCTGCATTGCCTGAAGCAAACGCCTTACTCAATTTGAGTGATGACTTATTAGGCGAGGAGCTTAAGGATTATGGAGACCAAGTATGAGTGTCTCATTCTTTTCATACATCATTTTCGTTCTTTTATGCATGCGAGCATATATCTTTCAAAAATAAGATACTCTATTGTTTTTGAATAATCCTTTATCTATGAATTTCAGATAATTCTTTATCTATGAATTTCAAAAATAAGATACTCTATTGTTTGCCGGATACTTGTTGGGGAAATAAAATATTCCATGCTTTAATTCTAAACCTCCGGCACACTGCATATCCTTATTCTCCCTTATACTTGATATACGTGATTTCAAAATCGTACATTTCCCAAAATCTGCAGTATGCAGTTTATTTTACTGTCACACCACCATGGCATATCTCTAGAGGCTATCAAATACACATTGGTTGTATGCCTCTGTCAGTTGTCTGAAAATCTAAAGTCAGAGGATCACTGACTTCATACTTTATGAAGATCGGTTCGCGGCATTAGGGGGAGATATGAGTCAGAATGCCGAGAAATTACACAGAATGAAATGATCTTCATCTTTCAAAATCACGTACTAGTTCATAAAATAATTGCAACTATCTGCCAAAGAGTGAAAAATAAGAATCCAAAAGAACTAGATCTAGTAAAGAATTTTTGTCACTCTCGAAAAATCTTAAGAAGTTATGTACGTCCAGAAGACGAGAAAACTCAGTAAGTTTATAGGTGCACCAAAATAATCACAATACTGAGATGCGGAACAACTAGATGCAAATATCTTTGGGAAATGACTATAATCTAGTTGACTTAGAAATACTATAAAAGCTTTTATATGTGGGAGAAACTTATGAAAATATTAAAGTTGTCGACAACACAATTACCTTTAATTGCTCATATTATATCTGGATCCAGAGTTAGGCACTAGAAGTGCCCTAATTAACTAATGTATAAAAAGAGCAATTAAAGGCATATATATAGCTCAACTTGCTGATAAATGCTCTTTATAACGTATACACCATTAACCCCGTAGGTTACAAAATGGGTATGTGTATGAAAGAGAAACAAGGATAATGGGGTGGTGTAAATATAAAAGCGAGTTCGTAGCTAAATGAATATACTCTCCCAAAATGAATGTCATTAAAGTTCCGCTACATAACTGGCAGAATGATAAAATAGGATATGCAGAATTAAAAGTTCTCAAAAATGTGAAAAATGAAAACCGCAACATGTATCTTTGAGATACAAAGTTTGTTTATATATGAGTAACCAAGTAGGATTTTTTTTGGCTACTTGGATATTGGTTATTTTATTTGATATTCTTGATGACAAATCCTAAATTGGTTATGTTTTGTTTTACCCAAATTAATTATCTAAAAGCTTATGTTATACAAATATTAAATGGGTATAGTTAAGAATATTAAACAAAATATATAGCATCAATATTCAATCCATGTGAGCTCCAGAAGAGTCACTAGATCATTATACATAATGTTAGTTCTAGTAACAATCTCGAAGGATGTACCATATCCCCTATCAAAACAAATATTTTATTTAGAATATTTAAACTTTGAAGATTATTATCTTCAGGGGGAGACTGAAAGTACATTCAACTCAAATTAATCCCATAGATTGGGTTTTAAAAGACTAACAATTGTACCTTTTGCAACATATATATACCATGTACTCTTTTCCTCACTAGGTATTTCTCATTAAGTTTTTCTAGTGTGGTTTTTAACGAAGCATGGGTATGATGCCAATAAGAAAAGTTACAAAATAAATGTTTAAGTAGACAAACCCCAAAATCCTGAAGATTATGCCTTGAAGGCTTATAGTTGTATTCTTTTTCCCTTAACCAAGTTTTTTCCCACAGGGTTTTCTTAAGTTAAGGTTTTTAATAAATCAATCATACAATATATGATTTTATATATCATGTACTCTTTTCTTCAACTAGGTTTTTTTCCCACGTGGTTTTCCTAGTGAAGTTTTTAACGAGGCATGATTATGACAAAATAATGTCCAAGGGGGAGTGTTATAAAACATGATTGATGGACATTATTTTAGGGCTTAATGGCCTAATTTGTAACAGTCAATCTTAATGAATAGATTTGTAACAGCTACCCATTCTTGTGTATATATACTGTACAAATGCTTGAATGAAAGGACACACTGATTTCTTCTAATTCTGGTCATTCTTACTATCACTTCTCTCTACTCTTTTACATTTCCTGTTTTAGTCAATAGATTATATTGCTTACAATACACCGGTTAGGAGCTAACAGGCCAACGGGCACCACAATTACAACAGATATGTTTACATTTTACAAATAAGTTGTATTTTTTGTTTGAGAAAATGGTCAAATAGGCCCCTAAATTTTACCTCAAAGGTTAATTAGGCCCCTAAACTTTAAAACAATGCAATTAAACCATCAAAATGTCAAATTGGGTTAATGAAGTCCAAAAACCGGTAAATGACCAGTTATTACAGGTCATTTCCATTCCGACGACGAATTCCGGCCACCGGCGACAAAATCCGACCATCGTCGTCAAATTCCGGTCGTCTTCCACTAGAGAAGACGACCGGACGGCCGAAACCTGACTACGGTGGCCGAATTTAGCAGTCGTTATATCGTGCACCATTTCTGCAGTTATAACGAAGTGACACTACAGCGTGTCTAAACCGACATTGTCTCACGTATTATTTTTATATTATCAAATGAAACTACAGTTATATCAAAATGATAGTGTAGTTGTGGTGAAATGAAACTACAGTATATATAAAATGAAACTGAATAACATTTCACATATTTGAGTGTATATTGTACAATGAAGCTATAATTATATTGAAATGATCATGTAGTTGTATTTTAATGAAACTATAGTGTATATAAAATAACTTTAAAAAAAAATAGTGTATATAAAATAAAATTAAATAACATTTTCACATATTTGAGTGTATAAATATTGAATGAAACTGTAGTTATATCGAAATAAAACTGTAGTTGTGTTGAACTGAAATTGCAGTGTATACAAAATGAAACTGAAGAACAGAGTTATTTTTTGCGAAAATTCTGTTTCTTTTCATTAAACAAAACGACATGATTGATCATGCACCACGGTGCACGATATAATTTGCTCAAATTTAGTCGCCGGTCGCCGAAATTGAAATGACCTGTAATAACGGGTCAAATTAAAGTGACCTGTAATAATGGGTCATTTACCGATTTTTGAGCTTCATTGACTCAATTTAACATATTTGAAGGTTTAATTACAACTTTTTTTTAAGTTTAGGGACCTAATTGAGTTTTGGGATAAAATTTAAAGGCCTATTTGACCTTTGGGGTAATTACACTTTTGTATGAAAATTTTTTCAGTTAAAGTTTTTTTCAGTTAAAGTTAATTGCATTTTATTAAAAAATTTTAGAGTTTTGACACAGCCCTTCTGAATGGATTGATATATACGGAGTATAATTTTTGTCCTTGAATTATTGGATAATACGGAGTAGTTATTTTCATTTCTAACTATTCCGGTATTGCTATTTTGTCCTTAAACTTTTATCCATGTTGTCCTTTTCATCCCTAAATTTTGGGAATTTATTTTTCATACTTAATTCTTAGTTAATTATTAGACATTTGCACAATAACTATGAACGAAAATAGTAATTACCAAAATAGTAAGGAATGAAGAGAGCAACCTAGATAAAAGTTTTAAAGATGATGAATAAGCACATACAAGAATTAAAGACAAAAAAAAATAACAATTACCCAATAACTCAGAAAGGAAATTGTCCTTCCAAAAAGAAACGTAGAAAACTTTTGTATGCCTGGGGAAGTATCATTTACTGTAGAAAGAATAGGTACAGCAATTTGTTCCCCCAAAAATTATGCAAATTTTCAATCACACTTCTTTCATAGAATACAAGGGAGGGGATTTAGTTTTATAATAATTTACATTTACATAACCCTCAAACTTACCAAGAATCAACACAAGGTAATAATGCAAGATGACTGGAACCACATCAATAAAGCTGAGACATAGAAACTTCCAACTGGTATGGGAACGACATGTTTTCAACCTGAACATAGTGAACAATAACACAACCACTAAAATATGGGGCTATACGAATCCTACAACATATACTGCAAATATTGGGCTATATGAATCCTGCAACATATCTGTATAAAACACAAATTCGGGTTCCACAGATTTTCCACTTGAAACATATCATCATTGTTCAATTAAATAACATATGTACCAAAAGATCACCTCAACAAAGAACTCTGGAATTCTGCAAGGAACCAAAAAATATATAGCATATATCACTTGAGCCAAAAATACAAAGCAGTGGTAGATCAGGGCATGTGCAGGATAAGCCTGAAAAGGTGGCATTCCTCAGTCAGATCCAATTGAATAACTCAAATTTGTGTGTGAACGTCAACAGATTTTAGAGTTAAGAACATGCATTGTAAATCACAAGGTAAGAAAATTTCCCCAGTGCTAAGACATTTTTAAGAAGCATTACAGAACTATTTACCAGATATCAGATGGAGAAGAATACCTGGAGACAGCATAGTCCAACTCCCAACGTAGTAGTCATCCACATGACAAGCCCATTTACAAGTTTTTACGTCCAACCTGTGTCCACATCAACTTATAATACAAATCCCTCAAGAAACAATTACTGACAAGAGGGTTCTGCATGAATGGAGGAGTTATTTTATTGAAAATTAACTTATATACAGAGATGTCCCCTGGCCTGTATTGCTAAAACCAAAATACAGCTTTTTCTAAGACACTATAACTAAGATACTAGCTTTGATGTTGTACAAAAAGATCTTTACAGTCGAAGTCATAAACTTAAGGAACAAACCCACAGGATTTGAAGGGTTCACTCAAAGTGGACTTGCGCACGATTGTTTAAAAGAATGTATACCCCTAATAATGGATGTAACAGTCGCATGACCCACATGTATCTGGGCATTCTCAACAACAACGAGGTTTCTTCTGTGAGCGTATAATGAACAGGAATATACAACAAATGCAACTTCAAACTAGCATATTCAAGTCTGAGAGATCATCCATTGGAATCTCAAGTCCCATGAAATCATGATCTTGTAATCCATCATCATCAAAGTTCAACCAAGATCCTATATCCTGTCCCTGGCCACCAAGATCCTCAGGAACACCTAAAACATCCATTCCGGGTAGTTGTAATCCAGATAAATCAATGGGGTCCTCCAATTCTTCAGAGTTACAGTCATTCTTATCCTTGGGAGTGCCATTTGAGCTAAACTCACTTGCTTTTGCTATTGAAGGCCCTGTTGGCTTGGATTGCTCCGGTATCTTGCCAACTAGACCATTGAGAGAAGTAGAGAGCTGAGTAGTTTTCTGCTTGGGTTTTGCTTTAGGCTTCCTTTCTCCCTTAGCATTGCCCGATGCGGGCCGACCAATTTTAGTAGATCCATTTCTAGATAGCACCTCCCTATTATTTCCTTTTCCTTCCCTATCCCTCTCACTTCTTTTTCCTTTTGCAGTGCTTGAAAGTGAACTCCCTATGCCTGATGTACCAATCTTATTTCCAACATCATCAAGAAACAACTCTCTTCTCTTGACCCTATTCACCTCAAAAGCTACATTACCTTCAGCAAATATTTCCTGGTTTGAGGACGGGCTCTGCTGTTTGCCCAAAGAAGCTGCAAATGAAAAAATTGGAGTTGTTAATAGGAACTATGGGTTAAGCATATTCTCTCTTTCCCCCCCACAGTTTCTCTCACACAAATACACATTCTGCATTGCATACACATGCAAATATGCATAATATGCTCTTGGACTAAAGAATAACAAAGGAAGAATACCTGAAGCTCTAGCTTCTCCAGAACTGCCGGGTTCACCATCAGTAATAGAATCTATTTGTCCATCACCAAGGTGGGATATCCCAGAAAGGAACATGTCCTTAAATAAGGACTCAGTAAAGCAGCTCTTACCAGTCTCCTCAAATTCTTGGTATCTTTCCAATGTTCGCTTAACAAAAGCTATCGCAGCTTGTTTGGCAATTTTCCCACTTTTCATCCCATGTGCATTGCGACCACAACAAGCCTATTAAAAGCAAAGTTCACAATAGTGAAACCATCCCCTACTAAAATGAAGAGTTTTCTAGTGTTTATTTTAGAAACTAGACAACACTTTGGGATGTATTAAAAAGGAAGTTTGGACATCCTCTCTGGTATGGATAGAGTATTTTATCCTCAACAAGCTACCTAACATGTGAGCTACATAGTTTTGAGGGGCTGACCACATTAAATTTTTTTATGACAAGTAGAACATGAGATTTGAGACCAAGACCAAGACCTCTGCCTGCTGTGATACCATTTTGAATGACATAGTCCATCTCAACTAAAAGCCTAAGTCAACAATCAAGATACACATTTATTATGCCAAGGACCTTTTAGATCAGTGGCATAAGTTTGAGGCTCTATATAAGAGGCCTAGGTTCAAATGTTTTACTTAAAAGATTTAACTCATCACAACATAAATATAACAAAAGAAGAATTATTTTTGCTTAAGGGCCTGCAAGCATAAAAGTTTCATCTTGTAAGAGCTGGAAGGAATCTAGAGGATGTTTGGTAAATAGCTTTTTACATGAGTAGTTTGACTAGGGGAGCATTTGACTTTTACCGAACACTGATATTACCCTTTATGCACCTGGCAACCAAACAGTTATTGCCAACAACAAGGTAAGACTAAAAATGCTTAGACATCATAAAGTCTTGAATATAATAATTATACAATTTCAAAAAACGTTCATGTGGTTAATTTTTTAGCAAAATAATTATACATCAGAAACGATACAAGATTGACAAACAGAACATTCAAAACTTGATAGAGGCTTAGATAAACAAATAAAAACTAGAAAGATAAATGCTAGAAATAGAAAAAGTTGAACCCCATGAGATCATTTAGAGATTAAATGAGATTCCAATGGAAGAAACAGTGACATTTTTTTTTATAAACAAACTCCAACTGCATTTACCCTAGATTTGATTATGCATATCCATCCTAAACAATTACTAATAACATCAATTTGAATTTTGATTCATTAATCAGACAACTATTAATAACTACATTATATAAAAACCCTCAGAAAAATATACTTCCTCCATCCCATTTTTGTAAGGGGTAATCGTGTTGGTGTTTAAATTAGGAAAGTGGACATTATTTTGGAACGAACCAAAAAGGGATGTAGAAAAAATTAAGTGGCATGGAGGGAGTATATTCATTAAATTTCAGATAATGGAGGATAGAGAACATTCAATATTACCATATATTTCTTATAAGCCATCTCTACGAGTTTGTCAAGAGCAAGCTGTTCAAAGTCCCTATAACATATGAAAAAACTTGATTAAGCAAAGATCATGCAGAGATAATACAACAGATCATAAAGCATGCATATCCTTACTTCTCTTGACACACTCTTGTCTTATCAGCATAGTTCAGCAGTTTGTGCAGCATACCATTCTTTTCAGAAACCTATAAATTAAAAATCAAAGATATAGTAAATAATTGCAACCAACAAATTTTTCGAAGTGTAGTATCCAAGGAATTTTGTGCATTTCCATTCCTAATTCAGATATTAGTCATGCCTTAAAATTTGACAGAAATAAAGAAATTAGAGAGGAAGGGAGGGTGGGGGAGGGGTGGTGGAATTATTATGTCAGCCATATCTAATACATTAACTAACAGATCATACCAGTTCCTGGTGCTTCTGGTCTAATCTACTGATGTCTCCACTAATTTCTTCGCCCCCAGCCTGTGTCATGCCAGTCTGCATCGAGAAAAACTATCAAGTAATACAAGGGCAGAGTATAGAGTATAATACTGACAAGGTGAGTCAAAACCTACATCTGGTTCTGGGTAGATTCCGATATATTGGATCTCCAGGAGAAGTCTCTCATTTATTGACATTTTATTATACTGATAATCAGTACAAAGAACATCAGACATCATTGCTTTGTCTGGCAGTAGGCCATTTTGGGAATGATTATAGTCTGATAAGAACTGGGTCTCTGTAACAGGCGTGATTTTGCTATCCAGACTATGGTCTGTCTCGTCAAATGAATTTCCATTAGCATTTTTCCTATAGCCATTAGAAGCAGGGTGTCTTGAATCACTGCTGTACAGAGTTCTTGTATGGAACATATCCAATTCTGAATCCATGTCTAGATCAAATGTAGGCTGGTAAACATTGAACTTGGGATCTTCAGTTCCAGTGTAAGATAATTCTTCACCTGCTTCTTCAGGGATTAGAGCCGCCATCAGTCTCTGATAAAGGGAGACCTCAGCAGACTTCATTTTTCCTGAAGCTCCATGTTCTGCACTAAATTCAGCAGTCCTTGATTCACCCCCATCTCCCTCAAAACCATTTGGAAACATATTCAACTTGCCTGCCTCAGTTGTTACTGGGGCTGCTGTTCCCACGGCATTTCTACCATTTATCTGGAGAAAGACACCAAATGAAGAATAATTTACATCAAATAATTCAGAAAGGAGCAGGGATTGGAATATTAAAACTCAAAACTCCAAAAATTAGTTAAATGCCTTCTCCTATAGAATCTGTCTTGTTAGGAAACAACAAAGTATAACTACTGCATGCATGGTGTAAACAATATTCTTAGGCAATAGAACATGCAATTACCTGTTGATTCAAAAAGGCAATATCTATGTCTGATATAAAACGAAAGAGTGACTCCATCCGCTTCCAGAATGGGCTGGAAAGTGCTTGAGCTGCAACATGTTAAATCAGTAGGTCAATAAGTATAAGACGGTTTGACATGGAATCTAAAACAAAAGTCTCAGTAATAAATTACCAGTGTTGGTAACATCATTTGCAGCAGCCAATAACTCTTCTTGTCCATCATCAGAACCAACTATGGAAAGGGAAAAAAAAGAGTAAATAATAACAAAGTGACTACTGTCCTGTATTCGCAAATGCTCCTTGGTTATTAAGTCCAACTATATGCTACAATTACCTAGGAAATCCGCTGCAGCATTAATTGTTGATTGCTTCTGACGTTTATAAGCCTTGCGATCAGAGAGCTTCCTTGTGGGAGGACGACCTGGTTTGCTGCATGAGAAGTCCCATAAAATTGTCAACGATAACACGAACAAGTACTAAGAACCAAAATTATAGAGCAGTAAAAAAAAGTCCCAACCTCTCAGTTTTATCAAAACTATGTCTAGAGCTTCTTAGTTGTTTTGCTGTCCCGACATTCCCAAGCTTTTCTACAGTTAAAGGCATGAGGGACCCACTGGAAGTAAAACTGCGACTGGACCTCCCTTGCCTACGTACACCATCACCATGCTCATCCCCACCTATCAACTTATTTTTTCTTGGTGGTAGCAGTAGATTTGACATCTTTTGGACATTCAACCCAGCTTTTCCATCCACCTCATCAGACCTCTTGCTCTTATCTTTGGACTTGGTTTCAGCAACACCTGACTCCTCACTTTCAGACGCAGCTGAGAAGTTGTCACTTTTTAATTTAAGCTGCTGAGGAGAAGAGCCAGACAATCGCCTTTCATTACCAGCCACCTCAGCTGAATTATCAGGGGCAGGAGTTTCACCATTATTGGAAACAATAGGAAAATTAGTTCTTCTCGCTGTTCGAGAGCTTTTCTGCGGCCTCTGGCTGGCCCACTGACCAACAGGTGGTGATGAAGACCTTGCTGAAGCTGTGCGTTTACGATTACCAGCTGCAGAAGTCAAGGGAAGTTTGTTTGTACAATGAGAAACTTCCCAATCATTAGCAGCTGCAGCACGTTGAACCAATGGAGCCAATTTAGGTGCAACACCTGCACCTGATCGTGGTGCCCGAGCAGTTCCATTCAACTTTGAGCTAGAGGTAGGGCTACCTGAGCTTAGATCTTCTCGAGCAGTTGTCTTGCTTGTGCTGGATGAAAAGAACACCACCATGTAATTAAAAATCACAGAGAATCATAAACAAAGGAAATAACTACATTAAATAAAGCACCCCAAAGAACATTATTAAATTAGAGAACATTTTCCAATTAAAATCAATTGAAGTAAATGGAATAATCAATTATTCCCATACTTGTTGACAGCTCTAACATTTAGCTTTTCTTTCTCTGAACCAATAGGGCGATCTCTTCTATCATGGAGAAGAAGACCATTATCCTGTTCAGCCTTGGAAAATGAAGAACGCACAGCAATGGAAGCTTGTGGCGAGGTAGCATCAGCTTTCCCCAGTCCAATGCCTCCTGTATTAGTTCCATGCCTACATTCAGATAATAAGAGAACATATAAATTAAAAGAAGATTAAACTGAAAAGTATAATTCTATTGTACCACCAAAACTTTTGTAAATAACCTTTTGTTCATAAGGACTCAGATTCATTCCCCGCCCCCACATGTTCAGACTAGTGGCAATTCTCAAGCTTACATTTTACTATTCTATCTACAAATGACAAATGATCATCTCTTTTAAAGTGAACAGCTCTGGGGTTCAAAGAATAGAGATCCTACAATGAGTTGATTGCATTTCAAATTAAGTTCAAACCACCAAAGAGAGAAAATAATAATTAAAATGATGAAATGAAGGAAGCAACTTTATATTAACAATTAATGTAAAGCAAAAACCTATGCAGTATCACACCCAACAAAGTCACAAACTGAAAACACACTTTTCTGTGAATCCGCCAATTTTATGAGCTCCTCATCATGCCGTGGCTAAGCAATAGAGCACAAGAATCCAAGTTGAAACATCCATACAATATAAGAAATCTGATGGTCATATTTTTCTTTTCTCCATTCCATTACACTTATATACTTTGGGATCTGAAAGGATTGGTAAATAGGTGTGACATTTTTACTTCTCATACTGATTCATGCAGCATAGCTAAATCAAATTGACATGTCCAAAGCTACAATAGCAGATAAACCCTGCCTTCTCTATTCTCCTGTAAGAATCTTTCTGAGGTAACTATATGAACCAGAAAATTTAGGAACTAGAAGCAGAGAGAAATTTGTGTACTCATCAACCAAATAGAAAAAGAAGAAGAAGCAACAATATCAAGAATTCAACTGATGCATTCAAGCCAAGGGAATCCATAGGTTACATGAGTTGCAATTTTACCTGAAGCTGTGGCTTTCACTCAATCTTGAACGAGCATCAGCAAGAAGTCGTGGCTGCATTCCTTGCTTGGGTTCCCGGTAGCCATCAATTGGTTTAGTTGCAGCAGAATTCAAGGATGCATCTGGCTTTATTCCAGAGCGCTTTTTCTTCATCCTTGATTTCTCCCAACCTTCCATGGGAATAGATGTTGGGGTTCTATCTTCACCCTGAACAGTGTTACTGTTGGGAAGCCTCAATAAGTCCCTATCCCTATCAAGATTCCCCGAAGGCCTTGCAGGAGTGTTTGGGCGTACATCGGTCTACATTGACAAAATATATCAGTCCTTTCAAGAAAAAGATTGAAATTGGTTTAAAGCATACCATCATGAATTCATGATGAAAGAAGAGGTATCAATAAGTGGAAGATGGACACCATCTAAAATAATTACACTTGAAATGACTATGAACAAAAAGCAGAAATCTAAAATTTTAGCACAAAAAGGAGATTCAATATTGATGCTAGAGTACATATGTTCTATAGCCACTCACCATTTATTGGAGACCATTTACAGCAAATTTTCCCAAGGCCAGGCAAACAGCAAATAAGGAAGAAAAGGAGAAAATAAAATTTTGATCAAAACAAATCAGCTAAAATAGGTCACATATCGAGTCTTGCCCAAGAAATATGACATCCAACAAAAGGTGAAACAAGACATGACAAAATCTTTTTTAAAAAATCAAATATCAAGTGTACAGAGACTTGGATCTACCATAGAGGTTCTGGTACGTTTGCTTGGAATGGCAGTTTTGGCCCTTTCATCTGACTTTTGCTGCTCTACTTCAAAGCCACCCATATTGCTATGGCTTTGAGTCCCCATCTTACTAATGCCTGTCCCAGAAGCTAACCTTTCAGTTGAAAACAAGGCACTGTTTCTGTCATTAGATAAGACATCTGAACGGGATCTTTTCCTTGATGGAACATTTGGGAAACATTTCTGGAACACAGATGAAGATTCGTAGAATATCTTCCCACGTTCCCTGATATATTGTACATAGTATAAAATATCACAATTGAACTCCATGCAGTAAAGAAAAAACCAAGAGAAAAAGGCATTCAGGAAACTACCTAGCCTTACTGCAGCTTTCTCGAAGACCTAACTTTAGCCGTCTAACATCCTCGGGTGAGGAAGAAGATAATGTTTTGCCTTTTGAAGACACAGACGGAGAATCATCCAGGGGTACACCAAGAGCTAGACTCGTAAGTCGCTTAAAATCTATTTGTCTCAGTTTGTGTTCAGTTACCATTGCTTTTGGATCAATACGTAAACATTGAAAGAATTTGACAACATCTCCCTGTGTTGCACCTGAACTACTTCTTGTCATGTTTGGAAGAGAAGATAAGATTGGATTCTCCATGTTTCTGTCAAGTGAAGTGGCTCCATAGGATCCACGCTGTGCAGATCCATACAATGGCCTATCTGGACTACTGGAAGTGAGATCATACTTATTAGATGCAGACATTGCATCAGTTCCCGAATGCTTTCCTTGTTATACACCCCGTTAGCACAGTTTTGCATGGCAATGCTGTTCAACAACTGTGCATGAATACCAAGCACATACCCGTGACAATAAAATTAGGGTTACAATGTTCCTGCAAAACAAAGATTCCAGCAAAATATGAGCCCCATTCAGAATAAGTTGTCAAATGCAATTTAGTGGAGTATTTATGAAGTGCAATCATATATCTAAGTACAAATTATTTAAGGCTAATGATCTAATCCCAAAGAGTATAGGGACTTGACAAGCATTATAAATGTGGGAGCTGCTGCCTATAAAATTGATGAGTTAAGAAGCTAACAAAATATTTGACCTGTCAGCTTTTACCAATCCCACTGATGAGCTACTCAGCTACCAGCTACAAGACTACTGCATATTGAATGAAGGTGAAAACTATAATTGATTGCTAAAAACATGGGTTTCCCATAGCAGCACCCAATTGGTAGTTGGATTCAATATTTCCAAAATCAATTTAAGCTTTTCTTTAGCAAACATTCATCAAATGCCAAACATGAAACAAATCCTCAAAATAGATCAAAATTCAACCTTAATTCTTGCACTAAAGCTATTCAAATAGCACTAATCAAGATATCCACTCATTATCTATACAGTTCTTCTCTAACAAAATATGAAACCAGCATCCCGGATTCCATTCATTCGAAATGCTGGAATTGGAGCCCCACAAATTTCACACTCCAACAATCTAGCTTGACCAAATGAAAATAACATCATAGTCAAAATTTATGAAATGAAATTAAAATAAATTAATAATTAATTAATAATAATAAAATAATAATACCTGGTAACTTTTCACTGTATATACACTCTAAAGCCTGAAGAACCCGCGTGATCTGTACAGCCTCTGATGTCAAAATTCTGAAATGATAAACAAAACACAATCACAATTGAGATTAGTTGAGGGTTCAATTAGGGTTTTGACGAGCTCGAAATTTAATTAGCCCCAAAAAAATAATTATTGGATAAATTCAAAAACACAGAATATTACTTTATAGATGTGCATATACAAATCGTCTATGCATGAAATGCATAGATTTTAATATAGAGAGAGAAATACGTACACGGACGTCGAAGGAGTCGTTGATCGGTGGAAGAAGGTCGTCGTGCTCGTGGAGAGTCGATCGAGAAATATACGTTGGATCTTTTCTTTTTTCAGTCTTTGAGTCTCTTTGCTCGTTGGATTTTTCGGCCCGGTTTTAATTCGGTTTTTGGGCCTTGAAATGACCCGCTTGTGGACCAAATTGCCACATTGTTACTGGCGGAAGCGGACCGCCCAACCAGGATTTTAGGTACCCGAATTTTTGGGTGTCCTAAAAATCTATAAGGTAACCCAATATTTTGTGTTTGGAGGCGTACACTTGCATTTATGGGGTCAATCCTCCCAAATGATTTCTTAGAAATGATTTTTTTTTGAGAAGATATGTCATCTTTCTAATCTACGTTTATTTTTGCTTTTTAAATAAGTGTTATGCTAATGAATTCTATTAAATACCACCTATGGTCCCTCGAGTTTGGTGACATCGCCATCAATGGTCCCTAACTTCCGTAATTAACATCCGTCATCCTCCGAGTTGTGAAAAGTTACCTTCTAGCGTCCTTCCGTTACTTCCTCCTGTCTCAGCCGTCAAAATGGAGGGTAATATTGTCATTTGACTTATACGAAAAGAGTTAATACCAGCCAAGGTCCTTGGAGTTTGGTGGTTTGGCCATCTTTAGTCCCAAGTTTGGGTGCTCAAGGATGGAATTGGATATCTTAGCAAGATTCTGTTGTCAAACCAAGGTCCCTCGAGTTTAGGCACGACCTCTCAAATCGACCACCTACGCCTCTTCATTTCCTCCGCGACTATGTTTCCCCCCAAGCCATGCCTCATCTCCTCCGCCATCAACCACTGCCCGGCCACCACTCTCTGGCACTCTACCCAGTACCTCCTGACTCCTCTCCTCTTCCATCGTTTCCCTCCACCTTACCCCAACCGTCTGAGCTGACTCCGTTACCTCCCTTCCTACCTCCCCTTCTTCCCTCTGCTTCGCCTCAGCACATGTCGAGCAGCTCTATTTCCCTGACGCTCTGTCAAGGGTTCTCCAATCCGACAACAGTTCCACCATCGCTTACCTGCAGCAACAGAATGATTGCTTCCGTTCGGAGTATGATGCTCTCAGTTTGGACTGTGAGCCCCATTTTTCCTGAGCATCCGAGGCCTTAGGATGCCTTCCTGATGCCGTGAACCTCTGGATTGGGAATGATTTGTCGGAGACATCGTTCCATAAAGATCATTATGAAAATCTATACGCCGTGATCACTGGAGAGAAGCATTTTCTGCTTCTTCCTCCCACGAATTTCCACAGGATGTATATTAGAGAGTATCCGGCTGCTCAATACCACTATTCCCAGGTTTAAATTTCTTCTCTCATTTCATATCATAAAAATTTTGTGTGTGAATATATATGAATTCTGCTAATATGTAGGCAATGGCGTTGAGAGAAATTGAAGAGGAGAATACTATACATTTGTAAATTTTCTTTAATATTGTATAGGAGAAGAGGGAGTTCGAGTTGGAAGTTGAGAAACCACCAACTTTCTTTAATATTGTTTGGCCAAGTTTGGGACTAAAGATGGCCAAACCACTAAACTCGAGGGACCTTGGCTGGTATTAACTCTTTTTGTATAAGTCAAATGACAATATTACCCTCCATTTTGACGTCTAAGATGGAAGGAAGTAACGGAAGGACGCTAGAAGGTAACTTTTCACAACTCGAAGGATGACGGATGGTAATTACGGAAGTTAGGGACCATTGATGGCGATGCCACCAAACTCGAGGGACCATAGGTGGTATTTACTCGTACTTTTAATGAGTTAATACCCATTTTGGTCCTCTGACTATTACGTAATACTTGATTTAGTCCCAAACTATTAAAAATACACAATTTAGTTCTCTAACTTTTAAAATCACACCCAATTAGATCATCAGTTACAATTGCCATCTATCCACCCTTATTTTAAGGGCAAAGAGGTCATTTTATTTGCTCCAAATTAAATCCGTTTATCCTGTCTCCATTCTCAGCCGAACAGCTTTCTTCAACATGGAACACTTATTCCACTTCCTCCTTTCACTCATCTCCTTCCTATTCTTTGTCTTCTTCCTCGCTGCAAAACACCAGAAACCCACTAAACCCGGCTTCAAATTCTACCCCCTAGTCAGAGCATTACTGGGATTCACACATGCAGCGAAAGGTTCGCAGTTGTACTCTGGTCAATCTAGAAATGGCGCAATGGTTTGGTGTTCTCTGACAAAGAAATGCCCACTAGCCTATTAGTAGAATAGTAGCAGAGGAACTTGACCTTGAATTTGTAATATTTGAATCGGATGCGCTAGAAGTTTTAGAATGCATTCACGGGCAAAGGACGGTCAAAGGAAATGAGAGAAACTTCATCAAGAACCGCCACTGCTTTCTGGACTGGTCCACCATCGTCCTGCCGCCTACAACACCACACCGCCGTCTTCCGCCGCCCCAGCAAGGTCCAGGATTTCCTCGACATCGGGATTTTCAATTCCGACGGCGACCAGTGGAAGACCCAGGGCGAAACTGCCAGCTATGAGTTCAGCACCAGATCGCTCCGGAATTTCGCCATGGAAACGGCCAACACGGAGCTCCACACCCGCCTTGGTAATGGCTCAAAGGCGTAACTCTCATGGGTTTCTCTTCGTTCTTTTGACCCAAGAGAAGAAGGGACAGGCCCTTGCTATAACTAGAAGCTGAAGAAAAACCCCACCTTCTATTGCCAATAACGTCAGTTCTTCTCATCTGGTCACCATCCAAAACTGTTGGTACAATAACCCTCACCCCCAAAAATAGGTGCCCACATTTTGCTAGTAGTTCTCCCAATAGCAGACTATCCAACAGGACAGTAAAAAAGAATGCGGATCTGAGTGAAGAAATGCCCCGCGTAACTTCACCGGACCAACGGCTCTATCTCCGATAGTCCGATTACTCGAAATCGTACAAAATACACCGTAGATTATAGATACACTGAGTCAGTGAGTCGTATATATGCGTATCAGACTATTAGTGTATGAATAATATCAAAAAGGACGTTTTTGCCCCTCAAAATAACGGCAGATAGATTGCAATTGTAACGGAGGACCAGTTTGGATACCGTTTTAAAAGTTAGAGGACTAAATTGGGTACTTTTAATAGTCTAGGACTAAATCGAGTATTACGTAATAGTTGGAGGACCAAAATGGGTATTAACTCTACTTTTAATATTTTTTTTTTTGAAAATAACTCTACTTTTAATATATATATTTTTTTTTTTTGAAAGTAACTCTACTTTTGTAATTGATCATTGTTACACTTTTTCCACACATCCAACGAATAGTTGCTAGTGATTCTAATAGATGTCATATATATAGTGGTTATCATGTGTCTCTGTCATTAGTTATAAATTTACTAATTAATCAAATAATCATATATATGAAATGATCCAAGGTTAAAGATTTAGTGGAAGCAAAATTATCCTGTTTGGAAGGTTTTGCTAATACTGGTGCACATCTCAGATTGATAAAGATCATAAAATTAGGGATGTTAAGGAAAAATGTTTAACACATGCCTTATAAGATTTTATAAAATTTTGTATTATCAAATTCATCTTCGACCTCTGGCTTGTATGAGTTCATAAAGTTTGTCTCACTTAATACATTTGAACCAACGATGAGATAAGTTTGAACAGTCAAGAAATTTGCAATGACCAAATTCAGAGAGTTTTGTATGGTCATTTTTGTCTAGAAGAAGATTGTATAGTTTAATATCTGGTTATTATTATTTTTATTAAAATTATATATAAGTCAAACTGAAAACCGTTGCCAGTGTTATAAAAATAAAATATCAAAAACCTTTGGCGATAAAATTTGAAAGCCAAAGTTAGAACTTCAAAATAAAAAACTAAGGTGTTTGGTTCAGTTAATATAACATAATCCTACGAATGTAAATATGATAATACTCCGTATTATATTTCTTTATTTGATTCAAAGAAATGTGAGATTCTTAAACTTTATTTTAGTTATTGCATCCCCTCACATTCTTAGGTGATGTGAGATTCTTGAGAATGTTACACGAACTCAAAATATCCCTTAAACCAAACAATTTCAGAAAGTTGAAGAAAAACATATTTCTTAGCAAAGGAGTATGCATGGACGAGAGGCTGGAGGAAACAACTTGACATCAACTAGTTGAGCTAGTCAACAGGCAAAAGGTTAAAACTCCAATAGACGATAACGTCTTGACCTTGTTGATGTCGATTGATCGATAGAAGCAACACATGCATTCAACGAATAGATAGCGGCTAGACCTTGTTGATGTCGATTGATCGATAGGAGCAACACATGCATTCAACGAATAGATAGTGAGCCGCGATAGTCTTTTGGCAAATTGGCGGCATTGATAATCGATTGGATGATAGGATGATGTTTATGGTTTAGGTGTGAGTTTAATAATACTCTAATTTTGCTTGTCAATTGATATTCTTCACTTCTTTGCACTGATTTCTTCATTTATTTAGGGTTTTGATTAGTTTCACTCAAAAACTGTCATTTTGAACAAAACTAACTTAAATAATAATAATAATAATTACATGGCTAAGTTGGCCTATTTGGACACCTAGTTTGCCTAGTAGGTTGGCCACTAACGGTTGAATAACGAAGAAATCCCTTTAACCTAGAGGCACCTAACAAGTAACACCTAGCGGTTGCGTAAACTAATTTCTACAACACTAGTTGCATATATATATATATATATATATATATATATATATATATTTGAAGGAAGTATGGAAATTCCATTAACAATCAATCAGAGATGAGATACAGGCCGGTGGCTCAGTAAACCACTGACCCAGGGCAAACATAGAATCAGATGTCCATGCTAACATATGAACAAGATGATTCGCTGACCTATTGACATGGCGAACATGCACGTTCCCAATGTCAGTAGCAATGATTCGACATTGCTTTACAATCAAACCAACATACGATAGATTCAATTTACATGAATTAAAAAGCGGTACTGAAATTAAGTGTATACTGTAAATCTAAGAAACTACACATTTTTAAAGTATTCATAGATAAATTTGTAGATTATGGCAATAAAAAAGTGTGTTCAGAATTGCAAATCATGTTTTTGGGGTTTGAAGGTTAAGCAATGGCAAATTATTAAGTGGACCCGGGTCAAAAAATACACAATTTATATACTGAATGTTCACAATTTACATACTGAACGTTCAGTATGTAAATTGTATATTTTGATCAAGGTCTACCTTGCAAGGTGGACCCAGGTCCATGGCATAACTGTCCTTAAGCAAGTGGATTCAAGATTTGGAAACATGCAGAGGTAAATATGATGAAATGTATGTGAACTCTACAAACCTGTAATCAAGGATTTACTAAAACAGGAGAAACGGACTTCTTTCAAATGTTGCTGTAATACAGCTGAGCCCCATATATAAACCTGATGCAAATGATTAAGATGCAAAAGGGGGTTAAGGGCAATAAGGCTAGACTCTAGAGAGCATAGAGACTGCCACAATTGAAGGCATGCCTAGCTCTGTCAACCCAGAGTCGAGTTATTAAAAAGAAAAAGATGCAAAATCTGTACATAAAACTATACATACAGCTCCCACTACACCAGCAAAATCACAAACCACCAAAAATCTACCTGTGCATTCTCTATTATTACTGTACAGGTTACGGTGTTCTTCCAAGCAGCCCATTCGCGTGGTTGGGAAAGGGCATGTTATGACTGCACGACTGTTGCACAGAGATGCAGCACGGTTCAGACTGACCGTCACTATGTCATGGTATCCACAGATGCGGTGCGTGTGAGCATTTCAGCACCATCTGCCTTGGAAGAGAATATCACGGCAGATTCACCTGCACATATTGGCATGCTATCAGGAAACATGTTTATTGCAAAATTTATTTTCTTAGGGAAAAACGAGTAGCAAGATGACATGATTTGAGAATCAGAAACTAACTGTGGGTTGAATCAGTGGACAGGCGGTCAGGAGAAGTGCCTCTTTTTTCTGCAAGAGAAAATGTTGTCAGGTGAATGGCTAAACTGAAGCAGTTTCCCACAATAGATTTTTAACCATTGATGATATGTAGGAAAAGAGGAATGTTTGAACTAAATACAAAGCATATACCCTTAGAACGCCGCGGCCCTTTGACAGCCTCAAAATTCTTATAGGTATAGCCGACAAAATTTAAACTTTCAGGGCTTAAAAACATCTGCCAAAGTTGTTGTTTTTAATAAGACACACTGGGTTAGTAATTAGTATAGCATTAAGAATAGATGGGGATCCAAGGGAGGAACTGCAAGTATGCTATTAAAGAGCTAAAAGCAACAGTTCTAAGATGCTCCATGTAATGTGTACCTAAAAAAAAAAAACTAACCTTCCTTATGTTTCCAGAGTTAGTTTTGGCAGGTGGGGGATCCACCTATAAAATAATTGCATGATACAATATAAAGGGTAAGACCATATTGGCAACAACTCAAACACAAATATAAGAAATGTTGTTGAGCTAAAAACTTAAAGGAAATATATATATATATATATATATATATATATATATATATATATATATATATATATATATATATATTTATTTATTTATTTATTTATTTATTTATTTATATAAAGCCACTGACACTAACGTGTCTAAGTAACAAAAGTAACTCAATACTACTCCAATCTTCCACCTGAATGCTAAAGATCATAAAAGTAGGACTGTTAAGGAAAAGTCTTTAATAAATACCTCATCAAATTTGATAAAGTTTTGAGTATCAAGTTCATCATTGACCTCTGGCTTGTATGCTGCAGTCATTTCATAAAGTTTGTCCCAATCGATACCTTTAAACCAGGGGTGAACCTGATATATTCAAGAAGAATAAGTACAAAAGAAAATATTGTAGAGTAGAATAATTATTATCCATCTAATACTATTAGGACAAGTAGATGCCTTTATTTGCTCAGCTCCCTGAGAACCTAGCCGATTTTGAGCATCACAAAGCAACCTACAAATTAGGTTCTTAGCTTCAAGGCTCAACCTTGCTTCACTTGGAAATCTCAAATGATTCTTCCAATGCACAATCTGAAAGTTAAAAATAGTTCAGGGAATAATAAGCTCACAGCACATATTTACATATATATAAGGGACCAAAGCTAAATAGGATAGACTCCAGAGGTCTTGAGTTTGAAGGTTTTGAGCAAATTTGGAAGAGCCCTTAATATTAACAATTCATCAATGACACCATATAATGATCACTTAAAATCTGAAGAATAATGGATTAATTGTCACCGCCATCAACAATGGCACAAAGGCTAGAGTTCCTCACAACCCTAAGAACCTCTATATATTTGCTCTGAAATCTATTGGATGCTAACGGTTAAGTTCATAAAAATGTGAACTTGCAAATATGTCCATGCTCCATATGAATGGCCTATGCTACAGAGCAGGCTCAATCTACCTTTTTGCATGTTGTTATTGGATCATCAGAGTAGAATGGTGGATAACCTACTAGCATCTCATACATAATAGCACCAAGAGACCACCTGCAAATAGCAAAGCCATATAAAGTTGAAAACTTCAGTTATAGTGAAGCACGACATTACATGAAGTTTTGGCATGTGATGATTGTCCTCAAAAGATAGAGGGGAGTAGTACAAAGTTTGTGCGGAACTATCCTGCACTCTCTGGTGTAGTCTTTATGGAAAGAAATAGCATATGCCTAGTGGGGTTCAATGCCCCTTTGCAAACAGTTGAATTGTTTTAACTTTAATGTGATCGCATATCTTTTGCTAAGATTGCTGTACCTGCTTGGTGCTATTTCGTGAATAATACATTTACTTGTATAAATGTATTGAATAAAGGAAAAAAAACATCATTAAAAGGGACAAAAGAAATAAAAAGGCAGAACTAGATAGCAATTTTAGTTTTGCACGCATGTATATGTAAGCATTTTTTTTAAAACACACTTAAATACCAATAGATAGATCATAGAAGAACAGTGTGAGTATGAAACTAAAACATTGCTAATGTGAAGCTGGAGGATGAAGAAAATCTACAATAGAGTCAAAAAGATATATTGGGAGACAAGGGGAGACATTTTATTTTATCTTTAAAAAGGCCAACAGTCATAAATCAAGCAGAAACTAACCAATCACATTCCAAACCATAGCCTCTTTTTAGTAAAACTTCAGGAGCAATATAATCAGGTGTGCCCACAGTTGAAAATGCCTGAATCAGAGAAGCTGATAGTTACTGTCAAGTGTCAAGACTGATGAGGTAAGTAAATGCATAATAGCAGTTATTCTGATAATACAAAGTAACATCAATCTCCAGATTATTTCCATTACAAATATTATCCAATAACCATATTTTTTTTGCATCTCTTAACCTTATACATTGTGTTTAACTTAGCAAAGGTGCAATTGTTTAAATGGTATCTAGAAGCTTAGCAATTGCATGCTTACCATTGGACAGTGCATGTACAACTTTAACTATTCAGTAAATTTTGAAGCTAATAATATACTGAACTAATATTTCTCTAATAGGACAATAACTCCATACCAATTTCCTTCTGTTTAATTGCCAATGCTGCATTTGTTCATTGGAGCTGTTCCAGCAGTTTCCATTGGCATTAGCTGATCCCCTCAAATTTCCATCATTCATTATTTCATTTTCATTTATAGGAGATAGATTTGAACAGTCAAGAGGTTTGCAAAGACCAAAATCAGAGAGTTTCATATGACCATTTTTGTCCAGAAGAAGATTGTCAGGTTTAATATCCCTGCAAAAAATAGATCACCAAGTAATTAAGTGCGCGTGCAAGTCATGTGCATTTGTATATATGGACATTACAGTAAACAAACTTCTTAGTATTAGTTAAAATTAAGTCTATATTCTTACTAACCAAATATTTTCCATCTTAATGAATATTTATTTTTGGAATCTTAACTATTGTTTTTATTAAAGTTATTATATATGTGCATCACATCACATATAATACAAACCTGAGTTGTTCAAACATATTTGAAGTGATTATATCATAGCATTATTAAAATTTCAAATGCACCGAGTAACAATTCTATATAAAAATGGACTACATAATATCAAGTGTAAGTATACATAGTTTAGCTCCCACTCATTACTCATATATATATATATATATATATATGTAGTTATATATCTCAATTTTGATGCAAATTATTATTAAATAATGGGTAGTTGGTCAATATATTCAACCAATTTTATCAATGCGTCAACTCCCTATTCAAAAATTTCATACATTTTTGTTATTTGCATCACCATGCATTGAATGAGATTCATTCTAGTATGTGTGTTTGTTTGTATAAACAATAATTTAAATATTCAAATGTCAATACTTTGATGGAATATTCTTTCTTTAATTTGAAAAACATATCAAGCATAAAGTATCCCCACTATTTTAGAAATAATAAACATAATTCAAATATATGGTATCTATTTTATTTGAGAAATAATTCAATTCAAAATTAATTTTCAAAAGTAAAGTTATCTTATCTTCTTTTTTTTCTTTTTTCTTTTTAAGTTTTCCAAATTAAACAAAAACTCAAAAAGCAAGTAATTTCAAAGAGGGACAAACATCTTTAATAATCAATTTTAATTTTCAATACTTGTGTAAATAATCAATGTAAGACCTAGTAAATGTTTTATTAGGTACTAAAATAATTAAAGTAAATATTATGAACTTTATTAAGAGTGTTATTGCAGTCCTGGACTCAAAAACAAATTCTGTATTACTTTAGTATATATTTTGATTTTGATTCTGATTTTGATTCTGATATATACGGTACTAAGAGAAAACACATGTAGTATTGTAGATTAGCATACTCCACCTGTGAATGTAGTTATGTCGATGGATAGACTCTATGGCCAAAACACTTTCAGCAATGTAAAATCTTGCAACGGTTTCAGTTAATGTCTCCTCCCTCATCAGCAAAGTCATTATGTCACCACCAGGCAGATACTCCATTACAAGATACAGGTATTCAGCATCTTGAAAAGAAAAATATAGTTTTACAATGAAGTGGCTGGCAACTTCTGCAAGCAAGTTCCTTTCTGATCTAACATGTTCAACCTACATGTAAAGACCCAGCATTATATTACACCATATCTCCAGGCACTCTAGGGCACATGAAGCACAGTTTATCTGAAAGGATTTTCAAAGTAGAGGCCACAATCAAGGTAAGTTGCATCTTACAGATGCCTGCACACTGTTTTAACAGATCATTGCTCTGATATTTGTAGTGCCTTGGGTCAATAGGAACAAGCTAACAAGACTCTAATTAAGGCACATGCATTAAACAACTATCTACTAAAGCCATGAACTTTAAACAACTACTCTAGACACAACCACTGATTTTCTCTCTGAGATTCTTTTGGGTGGGTATGGAGTAAACAATCTCTTTTTCTCTGGCATTAAGACCTCTCAAGAGAAGCAAAAGTTTGACCTCAGACACTTTGAGGGAGAAATGAAAAATGCAATCAAAACTTCTTTTTTTTTTTAAAGGTTGTTTTACTAAAGTTAATTGTTCTTAAAGTAAAAATAAAAAGAGGAAACTAGCTGATGATGATATTATCCACCCCTCATATAGATCAGTTTCCTGCTGACTAAAGTTCAATATAAGGAGACCCATTAATTGCAACTTCATTCACTTGTGCATCTGGACAAAAATAGGAAATGTGGGAGAACATCTCAATTCATGGGTAAGAAATTAATTCCTTTGAGCTTAACAAGAAAGTTTGAAATTCAAAATCAATCTTTGACCATACCTGTCCTCTGCTAAGCATTTCAGCCTTCTTCAACTTTTTCATTGCGTATATGTTTCCTGATATTTTCTCCCGACACAATCTAACCTGCAGAAAGTGTTCCATTTTGCAGCTTGTCAATCTGAGGAAAATACATGGGCAGATGATAGTAAAATTGGAAATACACAGCACTACTACCCCCATCTCCCCAACAAATAAATACTCATAAATGAAGAAGAGGGAGCTTTTAAAGGAAAAAGCTTCAAATTTAGATGTATATGCATGACTAGCTGCATATTTGAGAAAGGCATAAAACATTAAGCATGTCCCCTTGCTTTAAAGCATTAAGCAAGCTATAAGCTATATATGAATTCAAAGAAGCTACTTTAGATTAATGAACTCTGTGCAGTAATTAAAGGTCAATAAGGTTAAGGAAACAGTTCAAAATTTTGGCATAACTAGGTATTTCTAGAATTTTAAGAAATTTAAAAAAACTCAAACCTCTCCAAATGCTCCTCTTCCAATGATGGCTAATAGCTCAAAATCATCAACTGAAATCTTATGCCTTTTGAGTCGTATATATTCTGTCTCTTTACGTTCCAAGTCCTTGAGAAGAACCTTTTGCTCCTCCTCTGGCAAACCTAAGCTTGCCAACTTCTGCTCTAGAAGTGAGCGCCTGCAGTTTGTAGAATAGAAAGCATCTGAATAATTCAACAAAGCATCTGACAATTTGTTTGATTATTATGGTCCACCTTCTGGGAAAGCTAACTAAATCTAATAAATACTTCCTATAAATAGTTCATTTATCTCAATCCAAGCTAACATATGGGAATGCTGTTACTTCATATCAAAATTATTCATCCACCGGCAATTAAGTGAACATAAGGAAAATCAAATAGTTCATTTTACAAGGCATATGATGTACAACTTCATCACCACTAAATCATTCAATCAGCCTGTGTCCTATTTATATTGAATGCAGATTTGAACACCCATTACGAATGTCCATCTTTGCAGTGACAATTTCCATGACAACAACCTCATAGGAGGTATGAGCTCATCCTGTATGGCTGTATATATGAGTGCCTGCTATAGACTACCCTTCCAAGACAATGACAAACTTCCCTACACACACTCATATGACTTGTGTTCCACTCACAGACTCATAAATTTTCAAATGATGCAAGCACAACAAGGATTCAAATACTAATATAATTTATACTCCCTCACCACAGAATAACATTTAAAGCATTTGATCAGAACTAAAGGTTTACAACTTCTCCACCATTGAACTTGAAACTCAAGTAAAGAACGAAGGAGAAAGATTTTTTTTAGCACTAAGTTGAATATCAACGAAAATGAAATTACCTGAACTCACCAGAGATATTCTAAATTTTTTTAAAAACTAATAATTAAAACAGAGCTGCAAGCATATTCTATTTAGGTTTTCGAGTTCAATGAAAAATTTTCAATTAGCATTCATTCTCTAATCTCTACGCATCATTCGAATTGAACTAAAAAATAATAATTGTTATCGGGGAAAACTTCATTAGAAATGCAATGAGTAGATGAATAAACATACGCAGGAGCAAATTTTGCATTCAGAGAAACAGATACAAACAGAAAAAGCTATTCGGAGAGTCAGAGACCTTTCTATGCGTTCCTTGTACTGTTTCATGTGAGTCTTGTAGTGGCTCTCAATGTATTTCTTCGCAGCGGCGACTCGTTCGAGAGTCAAGCTGGAGCCCAGCTGCTCCTCCAATTCTTCCTCCTCTTCCTCCTCCTCCTCCTCATCCTCCGAATACGCAGTCTCCGTCACTGCCTTCCTTTCCTCCTCCATTTCCTTCTCGATATCTTTTTTTCTTTTCTTTTCTTTTAATGTTATGATGTGTTATGTTATGTATATATACGAATCTCCAGATTGTTCGTCCTCTCTACAAATCCGCACTCTCTATCTCTCACTATATCTCTCTATATCTGTGTATGCATCCGGGATCGGCGACGGTGGAGGAGAGAGGGTGTGTATATATTTCGCCGGAGGATCAACGGCCTTTTGAAACAGAATCAGTCTGCCTTCGCGTACAAATGGCCTTTTTCGCATTAAACGTGGCGGGATAGAGTTACTTTTGGTCCCACTCCATGTGGGTCCTTCGTTTTATTTTATAATTATATAACTATTACGGAGTACAATTTAAAGTTATGTCACGCTAATGATCACTTCAATCGCCCAACAAATAATTAAAAAATATGTGTTAACTATTTTAAGGAGGAAAATACGTGCTAACTGGGCAACATGTGTGCATGTAGTGTGATTTTTTTTTTTTTTTTCCAAAATCTGAGTTCTTTCAAAAAAAATTACAACTGTCAAAAATAACGCAAAAGGATTAAAAGATTAAAAAATAATAATAATAAAAATTAAGTGGGGTCAAGTTAAACTAAGTCTGATGGAGTGGTGCAAATGTACTATGTAGTGTCATCCAATGGAGTGGTATGTATCAAAGGAAGCGGAGATGGTAGCTGTTAAAGAAGCTTTGAATTGACTTAAGGAGAAAATTTTGATAATGTCAACATTAAAACAAACTCTTCTAAGTGGTGTAATTTCTCAATTAGGGGATTTCATTTGATTCTCAATTTCTCATTAGACATTAAAGACTGTGCGTTCAAGGTATCTCAGATTATCAAGGTAATCTGATAAAGATAATCTTAGATTACCATATTTGGTTTAGGTAATCTAGGTAATCTGATGCATTCAAAAAAAAAAAAAAGGTAATCTGATAAACGTAATCTTAGATTACCATATTTGATTTAGGTAATCTGAGAGGGTAATAATGCAAGATTACTGTCATTTAGGAAATGAGAGTATATTTGAGGTAATCTGATTTATCAAGTTTTTGTTAGATACTCTGATATTACTTTTCAATATTTCAAAATTACCCTCATTTATTTTTTGAATGCAAAACATGCCACTCTCATTTATTTCTTTTCAAGAAAACGTGATATGCATTATGCAACTGAGTTACAAAGTTCAGGACCAAATTATGGTCTACATCACACAAGAGTCATACGGCTTCCTCATTTTATGCTTTTATTTTTTTGATAATAATAATAACAATTATTATTATTATTATTATTATTGAATTGCATTATTATTATTATTATTATTATTATTATTATTATTATTATTATTATTATTATTATTAGCATCTTGTTAAATTTTGAATTATGAAAAAAAAAAAAAAAAAAAAGACTTACAATTTACACTTTTCAATTTCTATGATGTGCATTTAAGTAATTGATGTAATATAACTTAAAATATAACCTTCCATCAAACAAGTTAATGTTACATTCCTACAACTTTAACCAAACACATCAGGTAATCTTACATTTTCAAAATCTCACATTACTTACCCCCAGGTAATCCTATTAATTACTTGGAGTAATCAATGATTCCGTGAACCAAACGCCCTCTTAATGAATGATCTCATGTGTTTATTTCTTTTGCTAGTCGATCAATGAATTAGCTAGGCAGCACATACAATAATGAGATAATATAATCGGTTTTTATGTCTCATTGTTTAAGGTGATTTTTCGATCATCGTCCTATCATTTGTGATGTTTTGACTTCGAACTTTATTTAATATAGTGCTTTTATTAAAAAAAAAAAAAAAGAAAAAAAAAAAAGGAGAAGTCCTAGCTAAACATGTGTGATTAAGACACATAACAATAAAAATAGGTCATTGTTTATTCACCCAAACCCGTATCCCCCTAGTGCTGCTGCTCATTAGGGGTGTCATTGCGGGCCGGTTTGTCCCATTAGGCATACCCCATTACGACTCTTTCTTTTTTCTTTGCGGGCCAGCCCACGAAACTCGCGGGCTAGTATTATGTAACCTTAACTCGCTTCATGCGGGCCTTGCGAGCCTAACTTTAAAAGCGAAAAAAATTATTATTTTATATTCAAATAATTTAACCTAAATAATATTAATTATTTTCGTGTTTAAATTTTTACATTATATATATATATATATATATATATATATATATATATATAATTTATGAAAAGTCTACATAGACTAGCCCGCTAGGCCCACATTTCTACGGGCTAAAAATTATAGGCCCTAACCCGCTCCACCGCATGACGATTTAGCACTGGCCCACAGGCTTGGGTCCATCTTGACGCCCTTACTACTCATCAACAAAAGACAAACATCCTTTTTAACCAATAGAATTAATGAAAGCTCATTAAGGTCTAAGGAGTTTTTTTTTTTTTTTTTTTTTTTTGAAAGCCAATAACTTCGGATTGCATTAAATCAAGGAAAAAAACAATAAACAAAGGAGGATCATCCCTCCAGATAGTTCGTGCTGAGACTGCATTTACATGTTTAGCTAGAGCATGAGCTATCAAGTTGGTATCTCTGCAAACAAAACTAACAAAACAAACTGACATAGAATTAATAAGCGTAAACACGAATCTAAAACAACTCCAAGATACGTATGAATCGAACTAGCATTCCGAAAGCTTGAGACGAGAACCGCACAATCTGAATAAATGTTGATATTTAAGTAGTCGTGTTCCTTTGACCATGAAAGAGCCTCACGTATCACTATGGCTTCGACTAGGAAAGGATCAAATGGGCACGAAAGAGAACCGTTAGCCGCTGCATGCAATGAAGGCGCCATCTATACAAGGTCTAAGGAGTTAAGGCTAAACAAATTCAAATTAAATATAAGAAAAACAACTCATTGAAGACCAAACGATCCAAAATTAACAAAAAAAAAAAAAATCAAGTCGGTTAAGTTGGACAAAACCTTAGAAAAATACGTGGAATTAGGACACAAGGATATTAGGAAAGTAATAAGCAATAAAATCCCAAGCATGCAAATACGCAATACGAATCAAAACTTTTAAAAATTATATGAGCATTTTCATTTCGAATATTTTTTAAAAAATTTATATATTTCTAATAAATTATAATTTATGTTATTATGTATATTGAACTCTATAGTGATATTTTACTTTTGGGTTTTTGAATAATAATTTAATCACCTTTGATATATCATACATTTCACTTTTAGTTTTTTTTTTTTTTTTTTTTAATCTGACCATAGTGTGTTTAGTCAATACTATAAGATCAGACTAATCATGTTCATATAATAGGACCTTAAGAGTGACAAAGCAATACCTCATGGGTTATGAATTTTAACCGTACCTACATTCTCAAAGCTCTCTAATTAAGTTGGAATAGACATGCATAATCTTATTCATACTTAGCCTCCATAGATTTCCACTTTTAATTTTTGACTATTAGCATAATCACTTTTAATTCCTCGACTTAAAAAAAAAAAAACAATCAAATTTGTTTCAAAATATTAAAATTTTGTTCATATAAAAATAGTAAAATTAGGTAAAAGTGATGATATTAATCATATTTCCGATCAAATATGGTTGAAAAAAAATGTAATGAACCAACAGGAATTAACTTGGTAATCTGAATGTAATCTCATAATTGAGAATCAAAAGTAGAATTATCATCATTGTACTCCGTATAGTAATAGTTTTTTTTTTTCTTCAAAAGATTAAATTCTCAATCTCAAGTGCCCTTCGACCTTCACAGTTCACACCCCGGCCTAACAGAGCATTTAAGAGGATATAAATCAAGATAACTCAATGACTCAACAATAGAAATATATTATCTCAAGTTGAATTCCAAATACTTTTTGGAAGAATATATAATGGGTGTACTTTAACTGCTCAAAAAGCTTTCCTCCTATTCCACAAATTTTCCATCTGGGTTCATGGGGAGTCTTTTATAAGTTAAAAAAACAAAAACAAAAACAAAAACAAATATAGACTCTTGAGTCTTGAACACGCTTTACTTGTTGATTAATTTAAAGAAATTAAGAAAAATGGCTTTAAAATCCTACCACCCCCCCCCCCGCTGCCAAATACAGGTTGCATGCATACTTTTAATTAACATCTTTTTTCTTTTTAATAAAATGTCATACTTATTGTAAAGTGAATAGTCATTTCATAGCAAGTCTCTTTGTTGCACTCCAACCAATAATTTTTTCCTCTAAAACTCTTGGGTTGGAGATGCTCTAATTTACTAATAAAGTGAATAATTTTTCCTAATGAACTAAATCCATTACTAATATGTCATTTAATAGAGTTGTTGATTTTGTCTTAATGAACTAAATTTGTCATTTTAGAATTATTTTTACTTTTGGTTATATGCCTATACTATTATGTAACATCCACATTTGATTTTCAAATATTATTTTGTCACATCTGGTGTAAAACTTTTATTTTTGTCACATTAAGTACTTTCAACAAAATATTAGATACTTTTTTTAAAAAAATCAAAATATATGGCATTTCGATCTAATTCAAAATCTTACACTTGTACCCAAAAGCATCTAAGTTTTCAAGTTAGTACGATTTTGAGTTGAAAATATGATAAATTATAATTGTTTAATTTTCTATCAAAAATTTGGCCAAGATGACTAAATGTGACAAAATTTAAAATTGTGACTAAATGTGACAAAAATAATACTTGATAACCAACTATGAAAGTCCTAATAGTTATATGACTAATAGTGTAAATAAACCAAACACATTGTGCTCAGATGACACCTTTGTGGCCCCACTTGAAGGAAAGTCACAAGATTGAACCTTGGGGGTGGGGTCTTGACTCTTTGGACGGTAATAGATAAAGAAAGTATATAATATATACTACCTTGTAATAGAGTTAATAGTATTCAAAAAACAAATAGTAAAAATAACTCGTCATTTTAAGAATAACGAAAAGATCAATAATTTTATATTACAAATAATTAAAAGATTAACTCTGCATAACAAATCTAATTGACGTACTAATGTGGTGTTTGGTATGAGGATGGAATTGTAATTTCATTCCTACCAAACTTTATGAAATTACAATTTCATGGTTTGTTTGAAGGTAATTGCAATTTGCTCCAACCATGGAATTGCAATTCCTAATTAAGGCCCCCCTAGGAATTGCAATCATTTACAGATTGCAATTTCGCACTTTGTGAAATTATAATTTCATGATAAATGATTATTTTACCCTTATGTTTATTATTATATTATTATACAGGAGCACTCTAGTCTTTATTCACTTCATCCCTATCAATTCATCATCATTATATTCATGTCTACCAAACAATATAATTTAAATTCTCACTTTATTCTTTTCCCACCAAATTACAATTCTTTTCTTCTTTAATTCTCTCATGCCAACCAAACGCCATGTAATTTTGTAAAAATGTCATTTCACCAATACATTAATAACTTTGTTTTACTAACAACCATAAAGTTCAATTCTTATCATATGAAATCGACTTTGTTACGAATACTATGATATACAAATATTTTGAGAAGTCATATTGGTCTGATTGTTGACTTAATAAGCTAAGCTGATTACTTAATACACACCTTCAGATAAAAGAAGAAAAAAAAAACAATAAAAATATCGTACAAGTGTTGGGTTAACAAGAAGCATCTCTTTCCTCTTCATGTGAAAGCTAAAGTACGAGATGCTGGTGGAGGTCAACCTTTGACCGGTTACTGTTCATAAAACGGCGTCCGCTTTGAATGAAAGTCTCTGTCAACTGACCAATTAACGAGTACACGTAACATCCTTTGACTATTTACGTTGTTGGGATTATTTGGAAATAATTGTTATGTTAAGATGCGTCATCGTGATGCCATCATGACAGGTAATGATGATTGTATCATCTTCTACTGTTACTCTTCTGCGGAGTAACTTCTAAGAAACATAAAAGCATTTTCACACTTGTAGCATCCATAGATTTCAGCCAGTAATCAAACGATTATTGAATAATTAATTATGTCCTTTTTTAATCTCTAATAATTGATTGGATTTTGTAGAAAAATAGACACAAGTCACACAAGATTGAAATTGAACTTAACAGTTTCAATTTGTTATTTTAATTATTGAAAAAATAAAAATAAATAGATTTAAACCCATGTGAGTTATGGTTAGCACAATATAGGTCGGGTTGAATTATTTTTAATACATGTTAAATTTTTATAAACTCAACTTATATAAGGGCAAATTGAAAATTAACGTTCTTTTGAGTTTGTAAAGAGATCTTAACTCTCTCTTTCTCTCTAGCTCTTCCATGATACAAAAATTATAACTAAAAAAAAATAAAAATAGAAAACCCACATTGTTAAAGTTACTCTTAGAGATATGCTCATTTTGAAAGTAGTTGCACTATTTTTTTATGAATAGCCACACATCGCAGCTTTGAACTAATAGCATGTTTGGTTGACGAAATGAATTTTGAAAGAATAAGAATCGTATTCATAAAAAATAAAATAGGTAAGGAATAAAATTTGAATTTTATTTTAATGTTTTGGGTGGTGGAATGAATATACTTCTAGAATTGAATTCTCTTATTTGGTTGGATTAATGGATATAAATACAATAAGCTAGCATTCTAATTAAAGATAAAATTGGTGTCCATACACACACAGAGAGACACAACAACAATGTAACAATAATAATATGACTAGGGATCGAGTGTCACCAGCGGCAGTGTGGGAGCAACCTCTCAAAGTGAGGGGGGTTCCTTGTGCGCAGTGAGCACATGTCTAGCCTCTGTGGTTTATGTTCAGTTGAGTTACCACGATTTACATCATCCCAAATGCTCTGTCGGGTCGGGGTGTGGGGGGCCCTTTGGGTTGGGGTTGAGCCTTGGAATAATAATCACTACAAGAAAATTGTGCGCAGTGAGCACATGTCTAGCCTCTGTGATTTATGTTCAGTTGAGTTACCACGATTTACATCATCCCAAATGCTCTGTCGAGTCGGGGTGTGGGGGGCCCTTTGGGTTGGGGTTCAGCCTTGGAATAATAATAATGTTTTCGAAATTTCAGAAATAGCCTCATACTAACCCTTTATTATGGTTATTATCTTTACAAGGGAAATAAAAAGTGCCCTACCAAACAACCAAATCAGCATATTTTTGAAAAGAAAACAACATTTTTAGCCATTGAATTATGGTAATTGTATAAATTTAAATATATTTAGTCACTTAATTGTCCATTATGTTTCACTTTCAGTCACTGATGTTATATATAATTATTAAATTATTTTTATCCTTTAGAATCGATATTCATGATTGTTGGTTTTTGAGTTTTTGGGCCAAGGGAGGTCCAACACAACCTTGGTGGGTGGATTCACCTTTCAATAAAGCTTTAACGAAGTGGGAAGGAATGAATAAAAGTGAAAAAGTATTTCTCTATTCTCTGGGCCTCGACTCGCCTCCCTCACACACTCTCGGAAGGACCTTTATATAGGTGCCCCCCTTTAATCTGACTTTAAGTACATTTAAGGGGTCTTAAGTGCTATTTACGTTACAGGGCCGTTGGGCTGCCGTTACTGGGCTTCCCAACGGCTCCTTTGACCGAGCTCTTCAATATCACCATAAATGTCGTGCAACGGCTCTTTACCGATCCGGCCGAGTCCCAGTCCTATCCTCAAGCTCGGGCCGACTCCTGGACTCAGCCTTAGTCTCTTCTGGGCCTTGTTACTTATTCGGGTTCCTCACCTTGGGCCGTATGCTATTCTTCTCGGGCTTCTTCATCCTTCTTGGACTTCCCCCTCTCTCTTGGGCTTCTCCTTTTGTACTTCTTCTTGGGCTGGGGTTCACACCCCATCAATGATTAAAGTTTTATTTTTGCAATGTGAATGCTATTTGTAACAATGAATATTAAATGATAAAATAACCTTACCATATGTTAATAGGGTTTGACAATTATACAATATTAGAGACTAAATATATAATATTATGAAGAATTAAAGAGCTAAAATTATTTAAGTTTATTTATAGATATTAAATTTTCAAAAGTAAAACAATTCAGATACTAAAAGTGTTATTTTTTCTCCTAAAAAATATTATTTCATTCCTGACTTATTTCATCAACTAATGAATATGTGGTACAAAATTTTCGGATTGATCTGAAGAGAGTTGGCCATACATACCAAAATTATTAATTATTTTTGTAACATTAAAATAGAATAAAATAAAATGTACTCCGTGTCATAGTCAAGTTAGTCACAACTATGATAGCATACCCAAAGACTTCACAATCAAGCTAATCACCAAGTAATTTTATTTTGTCTGATACTAAGAGATTTCTTTTGTGCGCACCAGCTCGTTTTTTCTTTCTTTCTTTTTGAAAATGATAGAAAAATACAAAATAATAGTATCTAACTTTAAAAAAAAAAAAAATTAAAAAAAATCTTATCATCCAAGTCAGATAAAAAAATTAGAAAAAATAAAAACTAACTAAAATCTCATAGATACTCTAATAGCAACCTCAATAGATGGAGATTTTAGTTGATTTTTGTAGAGGTGATTAGGAAAGAGACGAAAAAGGGGGAAAAAGACAAAATCGTCATCCCATCCAATGAAAGATCTTCAATATCTAAACAAAAGAAAAATCATATTAAGAGAAAAAGAAGGTTTGTAAATCGTTGACGCTATAAATCTCATAGATTTGTGTCTAGTTCCTGCCCATCTTTTCCATTATTCTCATTGATCAAACACCTATAGATATGATTTTACAGTGAGTTTGTTCAGATATTGAAGATGTTTACTTGAGAAAACAATTTTATTTCTAAAAAAATATAAAATCCAGCAACAATTCATCATCAATTTGGTCGAAAAGGATCAAAACTGTTAAAAACAACAAAGTTAGATACTAAAATTAAAAAAAAAAAAATTAAAGTTATGTAACAAAAGTGATAAAACCTCAAAAATCGTGGAACCAATAGTGAAATTAATTCTTTTCAAATGTATCCATGAATTTAACAGCGAAAAAATATATTAATCTTGAAGTCTATAGATAAACTTATATTACAATACACATATAGTAATTACAATATGCCTTGTGTTGAGGAAAACACAAAATTGTATTGTAAATTCTAACAACTATTGACACCGTTTAATAGTGAATAAACTATAAATATTAATTAAAAGACATATTATACTTGAAATTGATCATTATTATTGGTCTAATATATCCATAAATCTAAAAATAGAAAAGCTGATTAACTTCGATCTGAGAAATAAACCTGTATTAACTATTATTAATTCTGTAACATGACTTGCCAAGTTGCCAATGCACATAGGTAAATTACAGTATTGCCCTTTATATAGAAAACACAAAATTGTATTGTAAATTCTAACATAACTATTTTTTTTAAGTTGATTCTATAGAAACTTGGTGCCGGCGTGATGTTGGTGCAAGAGCTTGTGGGCAATTTGATCTCTAGCCTGCATTGCGGTGGCCGACCGGACTGGATTTTCCGGCGACATTTCGTCGTCGAAGAGATCGAACCTTAACGCCGGGTCCAATTCTTCCCCTTGCATTTCGCAAATGTTATGCAAAACGCAGCAGGCGCCCAGCACCACCGGCAGGTCCTGCAGCTTCACCTCCGTCCTCTTCTGGAGGCAGCTCCACCGCGCCTTCAGCCGCATAAACGCCTCCTTCGCCACCTTCTCCACCTCGCCGACTTTCTCGTTGAAGGCGTGCTGTGTCCAGGTCAGATTTTGGTGCGTGTACGGCACCAGAGTCCAGTCCGTTAACGGATACCCTGAATTTCCGGCCACCCAGATGTCTTTCAGCAGGCCGCGGCTTGCGCGCTGGTAGAGCGCCGATTTTTCTAGAACCTTGTCGTCGGACATGGATCCCGGCCAGCCGATGCAGACGTCGGAGAATACTCCTTTGGAGTCTACGACTCCTTGGAGCGTGACGGAGTAGGATGTCTTCTGGTTTCGCTCCGTGTGGCGTTTGTTGAAGTAGGCGGCGACCGAGGCTTTCGGCGCGATTATCGGGATGTGGGTGGTGTACATTGCGCCGGCGACGTTGGGGATTCCGGCGAGGATTTGGAAGTCGCGTTTGGTTTGGTTGATTTTGGAGTCGTCCGGCCATTGGAGGAATTTGGGCATGAGGACTCCTCGGATGGCGGTGGAGACCTCGAGGACGAGCTTGTGACACGTGGAGATCCCCAGCCCGAACCGCTTCGACACTTCCCGGAGCGGCTCCCCGGTGGCGAGGCGCCAAATGCAGACGGCCACCCTCTGCCGCACCGGAATCGCCTGCCGCAGCATCGTGTCCTTCTTCGTCACCACCGACTCCAACTCCTCGCAGATCATATCGAACGTCGCTTTGCTCATCCTAAACGCCTTCTTAAACTCCTCCTCCGGAAAATCCGGGCCGTTACACTGCTCCCACCACGCATTCGACCGGTTCTTCACCCACAACCGCCGCTGATGCTGCCCCCCTCCCCCACCGGCATCCGACGTGCTAACAACATCCACAGACTCCGCACGACCGCGCTTCCCATTCCCCTTCATCTCCTCCACCTCCGCCGCCGTCACCGCCGCCGTCCTCGGCGGCTCCCTATCCGCCGGAAGAAACTTGTTCAGAATCTCCTCCACCGACGAATCGGAATGATCATAGTAAGAATCATTATCCATTCTCTGCTTCTTAACCGCCGGCTGGGGAGCAAAGTCGAAATCCTGGAAGAAGCTCAACAGATTCGGCCAGGAAGCGTCGTCTGAACAGGGAAACGAAATCGAAGAAATTTCCATTAAATCGTAATCGGAGATATAATCTACTCAGAAAATGGAACGAATTGAAAACGCATGTGAACACAGAAGAACTCTGAATTTCTGAAAAATGGAGGGTTTGACTATATATAAGGAAGAAGAGACGCTGGTGATGTGATTGGGACGCGGTCGAAAGGTGAGTGAGAGGAAGATTCTTGGACGGTGAGTTGGACTGTTTTAAGATGATGAATTAAGGAAGAATGTTTTACGCGGTACAATGTGGTCATATCACATTTGGAAATCTTGTAATACCGTAGAAGTTTCTTCATATCTTTTAACTCGCCAAAAAAGCGTCACCTCAACTCAACAGATTCTTTTCTTCTTTCTTATCGTTACAATAACACAAAAATTCGCCCCCCGCCCCCTTCTTATCCTATATATATATATAAATATATGTATTTTATTATCCACACCATATCAATAATATCTCATAAAAATTTACATATTTAATTCTATCAAATATTACTGATACTGATATCGATTTTAATTTTGATTTTGATATAGTTAAGTACAAATATATAATTAGGTATGGTATACAATATTATTGGTATCATAACAAATTCAATTAAGTATTCAATAATATTATATTTTTTACATTTTTTTTATTATAAATGTGTATTTAATGATATAAGGCTTTCTAGAAGTCAGAAATACTACGACGGGTGCAATGAACATTTTTACTCGTTTATGTATTTTTTAAAAAAATTAAATTTAAAGATAATTTAGCAATGTCGTCTATTTAGATAAAATTTCATGGTGTGATTTGTTTCTTTTTGGTCATTGTCAATAGTGTGGGGCGATAGAGTTAGTTAGGTCAACGAGCATGTGATTCTTGATATGAATCATTGGTTTAATTCCATACGAAATGACACCCTGGTTTTTCATCTAAAAAAGGAATGAATATAAATATATAATTTTATTATGTATAAAGTACACTAGTGACACATTTTTATATGGAAGTAATGATATACTTTAATTTAAATAAATTTGATACAATATTAACACTACAAGAATGTTAACATTTAGCGACGTTTTTTAAACGTCGGTAAAAATAAAAAAACGTCGCCAAATATTTTTACTGACGAAATATTTATAAGGTGTATTCAATAAATATGAAACTTTGTGTTTGTTTAGATAAATAAAAAAAATTATTGTATTATAACAGAGTCAGTAGCACTCAAAAAGATTTAATAATTAAAAAAAAAGTGAAAAGCGCAAGAAAGAAAATAATAATCGAATAATGCAAAATGTAAAAATTGAATAATTGAAATAAATGTAGAGCTTGATTAATTAAAGGGGTTGCTATTTGCACCACTCTTTAATCAACATTGGGTATAAAGTATCATGAAATTATAAAAAGGTAAAAAATTTTAATAATTATATAGGTGGTATAAATAGCCAAATAGGTGGCAAATTGCTATTTTCACCACCTTGGTCAAACTTCATTAAAAAATAAAAAAAAAAAATCGAGAACGCCTTCTCCGGTGAGATCGCCTTCTCACTGGAGTTTGTTTTTTTAATTTTTTATTTTTATTTTTATTTTTTTTTTGCGAGGGGCTGCCTTCTCACCAATGAAGGCGACCCAGGTAACCTTCTACCTGGGTTGCCTTTAGGGGGCGTTTGGTTCAGGTCATCTTAGATTACCTAGGTAATCTGAGTCTGGTAATGTTATATTACCAGCTGATGTGACGGTAATGTTTCAAGGTAATGTGATTACCTCCAATTTTTTAGGTAATCTTAGATTACCTTGCATTATTCCAACTTTGCCCTTGTTAACTAATCCTTATATAATAATAATAATAATAATAATAATAATAATAATAATAATAATAATAAAAATTAATATATGTTTATATAATCAAATATATATGTGTATATTTATATATTTAATTTTTTTAATATTTAAGCATCGATTACATTCATACATATAAATAAATAACACACATTATATATATATATATATATATATATATATATATATATATATATATATATATATATATATATTATTGAGGACATTATTGTAAATTGATCCATATAACCTAAAATATAACCTTGAACCAAACAAGGTAATATTATATTACACTATCCAAACCAAACACACAAGGTAATCTTACATTCCCAACATCTCACATTACCTTCCGGGAGGTAATCCTATTACCTGGGGTAATCTAAGATTCCGTGAACCAAACGCCCCCTTAGGGATAGAAATGGGGCGGGTGTGTGCGGGGGATATATCCCCCCGCCCCCACACTGGCATTCCCAACCCACTCCTTGCACCCTCGCAGGTAATGAAATTCTGACAACCTCATACCCGCCCCGCGAAAAGTTTGCGGGTGCGGGTAATACCCAACCCGCAATTCTAATTATTAATATGACACTTAAATCTAATAAAAATTATACTACAATTCTAATTATCACATGAATTTTTATAACATTGAACATAACTCTAAAATTTAATAAGAGCCAATAAAGTTAATCCTTAATTGGAACTAAAATTGTCTTGGTAGTATAAATTGAATTAAGTGTTTACTCGTTATATTATTTGTGTTGTTCTTATTCAATTTTAATTAACAAAAAACTAAGAAATTTAATTCATTATGCATTTTAATTATAAAATATACATAAATTTATATAATACATGAATACTAATAACAAAATATATATAAGTGCGGGTGCGGATGTGGGGCGGGGATACCTCCCCCCGCACTCGCCCCCATATCCGCTGAGAAGGCAGTCATCGCCTTCTCACCTTCTGTTTGTTCTTTTTTTTAAAAAAAAGAAAAAGAAAAGAGTAGTTTGATTATTAAATAAAAATAAATAGTAAATATTAATATTTGACTATATTTAATGAGGTGGTGCAAATAATACTTTTGTATTTGCATCACCTATAGAGTTACTACACCTATTAAATAGATGGTGTAAATAACAAATAGGGTGATGCAAATAGAGTTTTCTTAATTAAATCAATCTCGAACATATCATATACTTTACTCTTTTACAAGGTTTTGATTTGCTTAATTATGAAAGTAAAGTTGATCAATTTTAATCCATTGACAATTGTCTTTTTTCTATTTTAGTTTTCAATCTCGGAATCAATTAGATTTGATACTTGGTTTTAACATTTTTGTTACTTTTAGTCATAGTTAGGTAGTAAATTTGTTTAAAAAATTCAATCATAAAAAAACCAAAAGAGTAAAAGTAATAAGTTTGTCGTTAGTGCACCCCTCCTATATCATTTGCATATTATTATACATGAGCTAGGTTTATCTAATGCACACTTTCAAGTAATAACTAGCGATTTTCCTCGTCATAAAAAAATTACTGATGAAATTAATATTCCCGAGTATACATACCTGCTCAGAACCCAGCTAAGTCACCACGAGGTACTGATCCCAACCTAAATTGACCTTATGGGTAACCGACCCAATCTCAATGCAAATAGTGAGCATGTTATGACTACTCAGCATATAGCTTGTCTTACCTTGAGATTGGAATCGACCTCGAGTGCTTGGGATGATTAACCCGAGCGGGGCCACTAAGAGAGATGAACCTTATTTCACGATTTCAACCCGAACGCAAAGGGAACGGGAAAGTCAAGAATCTTTGCACACGTGGGGGAATCAGTAACACCTCCCCCTGTGCATGTGTCATACGTGTCACACATGCCGAGCCCCCCCCCCCCCTCCCGCTCCTCCCGCATGTGCTCCATTCACATTCCTATAACTATCACATTTAATGCCTTAAATTGGGACTTTTGGGGCATTTTACTTAATCTTAGTCAACTCAGAACGCTCTGGCACGATGTCACATCTTTCCGAACTCAACTACTTAAACCAACAAGCAGACTTATCTTGTACGATCCTACATACCAAATCAATATGCATACACTTATCTAGGGATGGCAATGTGCCCCTTCCCCGACGGGGATCCCCGATCCCCGCCCCGAAAGAGACGGGGATTGGGGATGGGGACGGGGAATATGTGTAATTCCTACGGGGACGGGGACGGGGACGGGGATACCCCTCCCCGCCCCGCCCCGTCCCCGAATAATATATATATGTGTGTGTATATATATATATATATATATATATATATATATATAATAGTAACAGAATACTATATATATTTATATATGTAATGAATATATATATAGTTAATGTTGTTACTGTTTATATAAGTTGCAGTATTGCTACTGTATATACTTCATTGCATATATAAATATAAATAGTATATTGTTAGTATTTTATTTATTTATTTATTTGTAGAGTTAGTATTTTAGTTTTGAAACTAAGACTTAAATTTTAAATTTTTTATTAACAAAAATTAAAAATTTAACATTTTGACTAGGAGTTGACGGGGAATAGGGAATCCCCGTCCCTGCCTAATTCCCCGTGGGGATGGGGATGAGGAATATTTTCAATTCTCCGCCGGGGATGGGGACGGGGTCGCGGAGACGGGGACGAGGAATTTACTCCCCGCCCCCGCCCTGTCCCGTTGCGATCCCTACACTTATCTACATACCCCGATGTATTTACTACATCACGTACTAATTTTTGAATCTATATATCAAATAAGTTTTAACTTAGTATATTGAAATAATAAATTAAAATGGAAAACGTGATAATTAATTCAAATTAAAATATATGCGGGAAAAAGGGTTGATAACGTGCATGTATGCAATCTTACTTAGTCGTCAACAATATAATAGGGCAACTACATGAATCGTATAAATAAATTAAATGATAACGTTGTCTTTTTCTGTGTGTTTTTTTTTTTTTTTTTTTTTTTTTTTTTTTTTTTTTTTATTGTTATGTTTGCTAATTTGTATTTTTGCAATAATAGATAAATAAATAACAACGACCAAGAGGTCAGCGTTATCATTTAAAAATAACACTTAAAAAAAGGAGTTCATGCTTACATGCTTATTACATCACCTTTAGATTTTAGAATAAATCACAAATGTAATAAAAGAGTTAAGAGTGATATTATGAATACTTTTTTTTTT